GCTTAGGTAACAGGCGTAAGGTGCACGCTCTCTCTCTCTCTTTCTCGTACACAGTTACGACCTGGGAGGTCCAGGTTGCAACTGGAGGGTGGGGTCGGATGTCATTCTGCTTTTCGTCTTTTTGATTTTTTGCATCCCCACTGATCCCACAGCCTCGCCTTTCCGCAAGAATGCTATTCGAAGGCATCATTTTTGCATAGCTTTTAAACATCCGTGTTTTAAATTCTTCTTTATACATTTATTCTGAACAGGCAGGGAGGTGACACCCACCTGCTTGTTCACTCCCACAATGCCCATGGCTGCCCATGGACCTCAATCCAGGTGTGTCCTATTGGGAACAGGGACCAGACGACATGAGCCATTGGTGCTGCCATTCAGCCAGCCTTAGCAGGAAGCTGGAGTGTGGAACAAGGACTCAGCATTGAGCCAAGGCACTCTGTAAGAAGCATCACGCCTGGACAGGCCAAGTGCCTATCTCATTAACTGTTTCTCTTTTTAATAGAATGTTAAAGTTTCATTGACACAAAAAGATTTCTGTGTTCCGATTCTAAGAAGTACAGACAATTATGCTCATCTGTGATAAATGCTATATGAAGGCAGAGTAAAGGATTGGGCGGGACGTTCGAGCTGGAAAGATGCTTCAAACGTGGCTGGAGGAAGCAGAGAAGGGAAGGGCGTACAGTTGTTCTTTAAAAATCACCGTCAAGAGCCTGATGTTCTGACTTCTGCCACCCAATTTTATGCATCACACCACGACCAACCTTTACTGTTATACCGTCTGTTTCTTGGCGTTCGCTGGATTCGAACAAGGTTTCTGATCAGAGTCTGTGCTTCTGGACTGAATGTCCGTGTCCCCATGAAAATCATACATAGCGTGATGGTGTTTATAGATAGTCTGTTTGGGAGGTAGCTGGGGTTCAGTGAGAGGACTCTTAGTGCTACGTTGAAATGGCTGCAGAATTTGGGGTCACCTAAGTTTCCTCCTTGACCTGTCAGGGAGCCAGGTGAGCTAAGAAGACACAGACAGTTAGAGCTTCCTTCCACCAGAGGGAGCTAGAGCCCCTTGATGGCCACAGTAGCCAAATCTGAGCCGAGCTCAAGTCAGCAGCTCCATCTGGGTCTCCCCTGCAGGTGGTGGCAGGTGCCAACCACGTGGCGATGAACAGGGAGCAGCCAGGACAGGAGCCAGCGCCTCTATGGCATGCTAACATTATAGGCAATGGCTTGACTCACCATGCCTTCATTTGAGGATTTATAGACATTAAAAATGTGTTTTATAATATCCTCACGGGGATGTGGTGCTGAGTCCAAGACCCTGGAGTTGAAGACACAAATACTGCAACTAAGAAGCAACATCAGGGCAGAGCCAAGTGTGACTGGGATAGTCTGACGTTCATTAAGTAAGGTACTCGGGAATTCTGTTGTATTTGGGGCTGGAAATCTCTTGCTTTTTGACAATGCCATTTCATTGAATTTTACACAAACGTAAAGGAAGTGTGCCCAAGTCAGTTTGTCTTCGTATATTACGTTATCAACAGGAGTTCTGGGAATAAGTTTAATAAATGTATGAAACCCAGAATCCTTTTTTTGGGGGGGGGGGGCGCGCGTCAGCGTATCTTTTAGATTTAACATTGAGTCTTGTCTGCCATCTAGTGGGTATTTTGTAAACGACATGTATGACTAACACCAGTCCCCATATTTGAATCGAAATTTTCATTTTCCTTTTATTCTCTACGTATTTTTTTTTACACTCATCATTATTGTTATTTTTATCTCAGAAGGGGCTCACATGTTATGGAAATCTGGAATTTTGGTGCAACTAGATTCATTTCTTTTCGAATTGCTTGTGAATTTGAGAGGTGTAAGAAAATTTCGCATCTACCAGGTGACGTTTTAAACGCCCCACGTGTCTGGGCTTGAAGCTGGGAGTTGCAAATGGAGTGCATGTGTCCAAGGCGGGTGTTAGGAACCCCCACAACCCGTCACTTGGTGTCCCCCCACAGGGAACATCAACACGAAGCTAGAACTCAGGATCTGGGCACAACAAGGAAACGCAGGGACCCCCAAACTGGCAATCACCTGGTTTTTTTTTTTCCTCAAAATTTAAAGATGTATTTATTGATTTGAAAGTTGAAGTTACAGAGGGAGATGGGAGCGACACACACAGAGAGGGTGCATGTCAGCATGCCATACGGGCGTGGCGGTGCCCCCAACTTGAATACCAACGTGCCCCCGCTCTTTTTGATGTCTTGATGTATGCTTCATAAAATGTGCGAAGCCACAAAACATTGTGACCCTAGTACATCTCTATGTAAGTCATCACATTGCACTGCTCTTTCTTAATTGCCAATATCTAGTCTCCCTTACATTTTATTTTTGATAAGATGAGAAGGTGGGTTGATGTGTATGTTCAGTCCCCAAATGCTTGTACCGAATGGAACTCAGACAGCTCCAACAGTAAGGGACAGAGAGTCCACTACCTCCCAGGATGCACCTGAACAGGAAGCTGGAATCACCAGCAAAGCTGGGACCCCAATCCAGGCACTGTAATAGGAAGACAGGTGTCCTCAACAGCTTCTTAGGCCCACCCTAAGATCTTACAGCCTCATTTTCCTGAAACAATTTTGAAGTGCCATTATATACGCTACATACATAGGTGCCTGTGCGTGTTAAATACAGAACGTAATTGCATTCCGTGCCTTCCCTTTTCTACCTTAACCTTTTAAATACCCTGGGTAGCTTAGAGCATGATGCAGAAGCCGCGGTTCTGATGTTTCTCCCTTAATCTTGTAACCCACCTCCATCCCTGATGCCCTTGAGCTGCGTGGCGGTTCCGCGATCCTTCCACCCCAAATCCAGTCGCGCTGAGAAGCAATCATACTCTTTTCTCCGTGTTGCTATGTCCCGAGTTGGAACGCTGCAGGGGCCACTACTCCAAATAAATAATGAAAATGAAATGCGCCTCATGGCCAAGTTTACAAACACTGGACTGAAAGGCTGATCGTGTTTTCGGGAGATTTATTGTGTTTATAGTGAGTAACTCTCCAAGAGGACTCTACAGTTTGCAGTGTTTTGCAAAGATTTCAAGGGAACTCTGGCGCTTTCCGTAGAGCATGCATTTTCATATTCCAAGAGCAGTGTTCCATTTAATGAGCATTGTTGACGAGGTATTTTAACTCTTCAATATCTGCGGAATTTATGACAATACGTGGTTTCAAGGGCAAACTGAAAAACTTCCAGCTGCTGGGGAGATCTGTTGTTATTCAAGCTGAAACAGAAAGGACAATGGGCTTTCTGCCATGATCTAACTTAGTGGAAGCTCTATTATGCCAAGAATTTTCACACCAGGTGGAGGCGCCCGCTACACTCAGAAGCCAGGGAACCACAGCCTTCCATCGCTGCTCTGGGTGTGGTCAGGGCACTGCAGGTGCCAAGAGTGAGCAAGGCTTCTGAGGGAGTTGTCATCTGATACTTCTGTCCATCAGCAAATGCTTGGAATTTTATTGCATGATTTTTTCCTAATGGTAGCAGGCTTGAAGAGACAGGCGGAGACTATCTAGGACCCTTCATGATCTCTGCCAAAGCCCACTTTGCTCTTCAGTTGATTTTCACGCAAAAATCTCCGCGGCATCAACAGACTTGATGATAGATTATCATCAATATTGCAAGAGAGTGAATACATTTCACAAGATGATGTGTTTAGCTATAAAGGACATCTGAATAATTACTAAGATACCTGGCATGTGAATGTCAAAAGAATTTTAGAAAGTTATGGCAAGCCAGTCAAGGAATATTTGGCATTGAACTTGCAACTGGTAGTAACGCAGTTCAGGAACGGGGCACGTGGTGTACAGAGTTAAAGTAATGTCATTTCTTCCATGGCAGACGGTTAAGATAAACACATCCATGAAAGCCCCAAGGCAGAGAACACAGCTACCATCTCAAATACTCAGACCTGTCCACATATTCTTTTCAACCCCAAATGTTTTATGAGCTTGCATAAATTAGGCAAGAAAGTATAAAAAAAATCAACTAGGACAAACTACTCAACAGTGGGCTTCAGCCTTTTTTTATTCTTTCACTAATCTTCCTGGGTTCCAAGAAACGCAGAACCTGATCATTCTTTATTTATTTTTTTGGAAATATTTATTTTATTTCTATTGCAAAGTCAGATATACAGATATACAAATGAGGTCACTAACGTAGGGGTTAGCTGACTTAACAAAGTCAGAGTAAGTGATGAGAGCGAAATTCAAACCCAGGCCTGAGAGTCAAGTTTATATAGTTCACACTAAGAGGCATATGAAGATATTTATGCTGCTTCACCCATGACTTGCTTTCTTGGATCGACCCATAGAAGTCTCCACCCACCACCCACCATTTGCTTTTCTTTTTCCATTTATGCAGGACCATCTTTCAAAAAATGGCCTGGACCTCAACTACATATATACTGAAGGTAGGGTTTGGGCAGAATAGTACCTGTTAACTGCATTGAGCCTGGATGGTTATAAGCTTGCCCCTCCCTCCTTTCTGGCCCCTTTCATTGTTGAGTATCCATGCAGATATTTTAATCACAGCTCCAGTCCCGTTATCCATCACAGGTTCCTCTTTCCTTTATCTCCTGCCTTCCTCCCTACTCCACATGTGAAGGAAGCAGGAGGTCCATCCTGTATGTTTCCTTATGTTTTACTGTGGCCGAGAGTGTTCAGTGTTCATCTTCACTTTCGGAGCTTTTTAGAAGACATTCTAAGCAGTAATGAATTCCCTCCTGGCTGAAAAACCCAGGACCATTCAATCCAACGCCAGTCGTGCTGTTGTAACGGCCGAAACCAAATGTCTCATTTGCTCTTTCTCCCATTAGCTTGAAAAGAGTAGACTCGGGGCAAGCCGATATATATATATATATGTATTTTAAATTCAGAGATATTATTTCATAACTAAACATGGCTTCAGATAGAATATTTTACACAGAAAATTAAGCAATTTGTGACACAACTAGATGAAGTAATTTAAGGAAAAGCATCTTTTATTGGTTGAAACCAAGTCTTTCTAAAATGCGTATAAAAGCGTAAAACATTACAACGAATAACTATGAACACAAATGCTGCTATCTTTAATTATCTGCACAGTAATTCCGATATCATTTTTATATCTTAATACACAGCTTACTGCGTTTGCTAGGTGTAAGTTACATCTGAGCACGGAGGCCCAGATCTGATTTGCAGAAGAGACACAGAGCATGGTAATATGACCAAGTCCTTAAAATATTAGATGTTAAAAAGTGTGCTAGAAATGACATCCATTTACATAATCGGTGACCCAAACCATATAAACCATTGTTAGAAAGAAAAGAGAAATATTGCTTACTGCTCTATGGATGATTCCATAAAGAAAGAAAGGTTCTGCCTACTGCGTGGCCCACAAGTCAGCCATCTATCTTTCATCTTCAAATGTCTCTCAGAATATCTGTGGTTCAAGGCACTGACAGGCCTGCAGTTGGCATGCTACGAAATTTTGCAGGATGGCTCCCAGAATGACGGTGCTTGAGGCGGAAGATGCAGGGGTTCAGAGCTCAAGATATGCTGAGAACGTTGATGAGTTTGCCACCAGTGACCTGACTGTGAAATCAGAACCAATCATCGCAGTGGTCACGCCGGAATGAGGGCTGCAGAGACAAAAATCAACTCAACTGCGTGAGCCATGAGTTCTAAATGCACTGGCTTTCATTCGAAGCGTGGATTTCAGTGACACCTTAACAATTCTTCAGAATTGTACCACTGATTGGTACAAAAAAAAAATACGAGTGCCATCATTTCTTCAACTAAAAGATAAGGCAAGTACTGCAGAATTAAAGCAGATCGAATCTTCATTCTGTAGGTCCATAACCAAAGACTTCAGTGGATCACAAAGCTGAGCTCTCTTGTTTTCTGTGAAGTAGAGGAAATAAGTGAAATAAGTGGAATAGGAAAAAGCATCACTCAATTTCCCTATCTTTCGATGTCATACTTTCATGCTGGACAACGACATTCCTTGAAGGAGTTCACCAAGGAAGCCGCACAAAGAAGCCACTTCAGCGCCTTCAAGAGCAACGCGCAACAAAATAACCAGACACAGAACGGGGCAGCCAACAAAATGTGTGGTGGGCAAGTATCTCCCTGACCGGATGGAGCATTTTCACCTAGAGGAAGATGCGCTACAGCTGTCACAAGACCATAGCTTTGTATCTGCATGATTAACTGACAAAAGCCATGTTTGATATCTGTCAGCCTATGCCACGATTCCTTCTGCATCCATCGCCTTGCCTTTTTCAATAGTCCAAAAACGTTCACAAAGACCTAAGCGTTAGAATGTTAACAAGAATGAGGCTTTTTAAAAAGTCTACTTTTGCTCTATATCTCCTAGATCTGGTCAATCAATGAAGCAACTTATTAAAGAAGACTTTCTACTCATAATGAAGAAACAGTTTCATCCAGACGTTCACAAATTTAACAAGTTCATGTACAACATCTTGTGAAAAGCTAAGGCGACTTTTAATTCTTTGGTATAATTTAGTCACACAGAGACTTATGGAATGTAACATTCGCGTGGTGAAATTTATTATGTAACTTTAACACAAGATGCTTATGGGAAGATTATGAAAAGTATGCTGTCTGCCTCGAAGAAGCTCTATTTATTTTTTGGCTTTTCAGTAGATCAGCGATTAAATGAGTAGGTCCTTGTATCCTATTTGTTATTGGACGGATGAGATATTAAAGTTGCTGAGACATTTATTTACTTAAAATAGGTTAGAATTTTGAGCACATCTTATCCAAATAGATTGTAGATAGAAATGGCCAGAACAAAAGATTCAGTTGCCTTCCCAGACACAAGCTCTCGACGCCACAAGAAAAGAAATACTGGGCCCCAAGATATGACTGGATTTTAAGGAGGAGATAGTTTTGAATGGCTCGCCCTTTGGTAATAGACAGTTTCACACAGATGAAAGCTTGTGATTTTCCAAAATATCTCCAGAAGATTGGGAAGGTGCTGCTAAGTCTAGACTATTAAAAACTCATGAGATTTTGAGATTACATGTGATAATTCATGTCAAATGTCTAGCAGCGATTTCGTGGTTGCCATGGACTTCAGTGGCAGCTTCATTAATTTTAGGTGAGACTTTCTAAGGTCAGTAGTCTGAGTAACAAATGCATGATACTGACATGAGGCATTAATGACAGGAGAAGCTGGATGTGGGCTATATGTGAACTGTTGATACTGCCAGAATGTCTCTTTTCTGTAAACTTAGAACTATGCTGAAATTTGAAATGGAACAGAAGCAAATACGGTTGCTTTGAAATTGTGAAGTTGTAATTTTTAAACAGATTTTTTTTTTACATGAAAGATACAGTTATGGGGGGTCGGGGATCTTCCATTTACTAGTTTACTGCCCCAAATGGTCCCAGTGGCCAGAGGTGGATTCATCCAAAGCAGGGAGCCAGGAGTTTCTTCTGGATTGCTCATGTTGGGGGGCCTGGAGTCTTAGGCCGTTCTCTTCTGCTTTCCCAGGCCACAGGCAGGGAGCGGGATCAAAAATGGAGTGAGGGATTCAAATTGTCACCCATAGGGGACCCCCACACTGCAGGCAGAGGACTGACCTCAGATACCACTGTGCCAGCCGCTAACATTGTGATTTTTCATAGAAAGCATAGTCCACATTGAATCTTTTGGCGGTGTTTTGGTAGGGGGAACCCAAGATAAATCATGGATGTGCAAACGTTGCATTTAGACAATGTAGAGACAATATGTCTACATAGAAAAAAAGGTTGTTTTTTTTATTTAAATATATATGCTCAGGTTTTATCATTTCAGCCCAATATTTTTCCCAAATAGTGTGTTTTTATATTGTTCTCTGTTAACCTTTTTAAAGACTCATTTATTTATTTGAAAGGCAGAGTGACAGGGACAGGGGAACAGGGAGAGGAGATATTGCAAACATATGATTCACATCGTATATGGGTGGGAGCTACACCCAGATCTCGCCACTGGTGCAGGGTCTCAAGCATGTGTACCTCTTAGTGATTTCCCAGCACTATGGGCAGGCAGTAGGGCTGGCAGTGGAGTTGCCAGATGTGCCGTACCAGGCAGTGGATTAACACGCTATGCCACATCTGTGGTCCCTCTGTATTTTACTTTGACCTCTGTTCCTACTGCCTTTGTAGTTTCCTGATTTATCTCACTTGTCCCTTACCGATGTTAACCTCCCAATTCGACTCTATTTTTGAACTTTTACATAAGCTTTCTCCATTGGTAATATATTTGTGATTTTTTTTTTTTAATATTTAGCTGCAACGCAGTGAGTGACGGACAACTTAAACGTTTAGGTAGAAGCAAGAATGGCATTTAAAAAAAGGCATAATTAACATTGTTCTTATTCCTCCTCGAATTAACGATGAGATTTCAGCGATCGCACGGATGCTTGGGCTCTGCTTATCTGATTTATTCAACATCTGAGTTAACCCTGTTCAGCTCAAACACTGAGGGCTGTCGTCAAAAACAAGCGTGTACGTGAAATACGCAGAACGACTTGTGATGCCAATGTGTAATCGATCCTGGATTAAAAATAGGGTCCCTTCCGCAGTCCGCGAGCTTTGCTAAAAGACTCACCTATCTCGCTTTCTTTGTCCTGCACGCGCAGTAGGAAATCATGAAAGCCAGAAACATCACCACACCGACGCTGAGTAAGATGGTCTCAACCAGGCCAAGGAGGTTGATTTTTCCAGTCACTTGCTTTTTGAACAATTTTGCTTTCTCATCCCCGATGGTACCCGTCTACAATCAAACGAATGAACACGATTGTTTGAGTGGCTGACTGCAGCGAAATGCTCAGGCGTTTCATTTTTTGCGTCATTGCTGCCTGCCGACACCTGCACGGTTGTTTGTCATTGGTATCTGCTCAGCACGTGGATGATGCTCTTGTAGGTGAAAGACAGCAGACACCAAGATGGAGAATTAAATGGGAGATGGAACTGCTTACCGACATTTCACGGAAGCAGCATGTTAAGGGAAAACCACGCCTGGCTTTAAAAGTTGTCACCATTATTTCTCTTTCATTTCCCTTTCCCACAAGTTTTGTTCAATACCCTCACATAAGCCGCTTATTTCTACACCCGTCTAGAGTTCTTCAACTGCACAAGAGTCATTTGAGCTTCAGGACTGTTTCTATAAGATACCTCGCAGGTTATTTCAGCATTTCAAAGCTTATTTCCCAGGGACGGAGGGATATGAATGGGTCTATGGTTTCCATTGCTCAAAAGGCTTGTGCAATGCGTTTTAAATCTGATCACGCATGAATTCAACAGTTGACACAAAAATAGCGTGTCTCTGCATGAGACAGGCCGCATCTGCTCTAACCTGGCCTTTACGGGTTGGCTTCTGCTGACAGGGTGAAACTTGGTTTATTTCTATTAACATTTCAACTTGGTTGATTTCTACTAACATTTAAAGCAACCTCTTTTGTAAGACAAGCACTATGGTGATAAATAATATTGAATAGATGCATTTCAAAGCCTATCTAAAAAGTGCTTTATTTCCCCCAAAGGAAACCTTAGATGCATAGAAGGCACACTTTTGTTATACCATTCTCCCAGGTAGAATCAGCTATGTGTGAGCTGGACCTCCCAGGCAGCAGTACACATATAATTGTAAACATACTAGGTATATAATCAACTTTGACACACGAAAAGCTTTTCACACATAAGTTTGTTATGCATGATGCATAAATTAAAATACTAACCTCATTGAGCCAAAGTATAGGGACAATATAATTCCTCTTCAGATTCTTCAATGCGCTGCAATAATGCACAAAGGACATTAAGAAAATAAATATTCTCATAGCTGACATTGTAGCCATTTATACTCTGCACACGGAACAATAAGCTGTTCCTGCATATTGATCAAGCAGTTTGATTTTGATCTCTGTAACGTGTCATTTCGCTTTCAATACGATGGGTTTCCCGACTTCACACATTTTTGACTTTTTTTCCAAGGACGCCTTACTCCTTTGAACACATTCAGCTAAAGAAAATAAACTATGCATTCTGAAACTCGTCAAAGGAATAATCAGGCATCTAATAAGATGAGCGCAACCGTCACACTCTCCAATTAAACACATTTCCATGAACACAAGTGCTGGTTATCATAAACAGCTTACTAATCACTGTGCAATGACCTTCAGCCCAGAGAAGCTGACATTCGATATTCTTCCTGCTGACTTTCACGGACTAGCTCACCTCCTTGAGGAAGAGGCTTTATAGGACGCAAGAGAACCCTGTTCAGCAGACTTACTCAATTCGGCTTGCTGGCTTGACCAACATGTTGACCTGCAGGCGTTTTGCAAATTGCAAAGTGAATCCAGTTATCTGAAAAAAGAGAACGCAATAAAAGAACAAATTCCTTTCATTGAATATCTGAGTTTTGTGGTTGTAACGACGGCACAAGGGTTCTTGAGGAAAACTCATGGTAACACAGCAGGGTTTCAAGTTTGCGAACAGTGTATCGAGTGCACACCTGGGTGTGCACCTGTGCTGTGTGCTCCCACACACAGGTGTATACCTATAGTTACTTTGTTTAACGTAAGCTGTCAGTCATCTCTGTGATTTTATCTGAATGCTTTAGAGGAAGTCCAGAGTAACCCTCAACTCACCCAAAGTCAGTTATCCCTCAAGGTTGGTTTTACAATGCCCATGATACATGATACCTGTTGCTGTAAAAGTTATTTCGCATTCCTCTATAAGAGTCCCACACCCCCTGGATACTTAGAACATAACTCGATTACTTACAATAGATAATGCCATGTAAATATTATGTAAATAAATGTCATACTGCGTTACATCTGTTCAATGTTCAGAGGAGATCATATTTCACGTTTTTTAATCTGCCCTTGGTTGAGTTCAGATGCAGAACTCGAATACAAAGGAGTAACTTTACAGTCAGACAGAACGTGCAGGTATCATCTGTTAAGAGAAATTCTAGAGTTTTAATTTATGCTCAATTTTGGAAAATGACACTGAAATAGATTTAAATTGCCATGTTGAAACAATTTGTAGAGATTTTTCTTGACAGTAATGTGTAATAGACCTCGCCCAGAATTTATAGTCAACTATGCTCATAAAGTCTTAATTAACACAAAAGTGTTTTAGGCCAGTTATAACTGTTACTGTCACTGGCATTTTTTTTTTTTTGGTAGGGCTTGTTAAAAAGCTTTATAAGATTTATATGCTAAAATTACAATTGAATTTTCTCAGGATTTTACAATGGGAAGAATCAATGGCAGTGTCACTAAGTGTTAGCAGTTTGCTAAAAATATAATCAGTAAGTACAACCAACAAGACATTTTTTTTTTCAATTTAATGATTTAAATTTATTCAACTAGGAGCTAACGACTTCTTGAAAAGACACTTTCCATTGGCTGATTCATTCCCCTTTGGTAACTCATTTGTTACGTGGTCAAAAGAGTGGGGGCTGAAGCTAAGAACTAAACACCAGTGCAGATCTCTTTTATAGCTGGGAGGAACCCACCTCCTTGAGCCATCCCCACAAGCTGGAAGCAGGAGCCTGAGCTGCAAATAAAACCCGTGTACCTCACCAAAGGCTGTCAGCATCCCATCTAGCGTCTCCACTTGTGGCTCAAATGCGTGCCTTCAGTTTTATTTTTAACGTGCATGATTAAACCAAATTAGATCAATAGCATATTTTCTTACAGGCTCAACATCCAAGTATGTCCTATGTTCTTCCTCGTTTGGATGCAAACCTTCGATGGGCTCTGACACATCGGGGCTCGCATGTAGAAAGTGAGGGAGCGAAATGTATGCGGGTCTTCCTGGAAACGAGTGGTTAAAAAGTCAATTGCGAACAAATCATTCTCCTCTTTTCACCCAAAGCCACCCATAGTCCCTTGAAAAGAAAGCTTTTTTAAATAGAGAAGTGTTTTGAGCACTGATTGGAGATTCAAGGAGGGGAGGAATAGAAGCTCAAGGAATGCTTATACAAAAATGGAAAACTTGTATCATTTCATGAGGCATTCTGGTGGTATCTGTTATTCATTCCTCTGCTGCTCTTTTTCAACAGGTACAGTTTAGATGCTGAATAAAAAGGTTCAATTGTATTTAGTCAAAAATCAGGCAATAATGAGTATCGGAAAGACAGCTGTTGCTTTTTTCTAATGTATGTTTGCCACATGGTTGTATGAGCCAAATCAGACAGACCAAACATTTAGTGTCCGTCCAGTTTGTTTTCGAGGCACAATGAAAATATAACTACTCTTCATAATTTTGTCAGTGGAAACAAAGATAAAGCAGTCGCGCAGAGGAAACACAAGATTCTCAAAATATGCTGGGAAGCATTTTCAGTTGACCTCGAACCACTAACACGCACAAGATAGCAAATGTGTGGGTTTTACACAGTCGTAACAGCTTTGCAACACTCATACTGGATAAGAAACGCCAAATAAAACACAAAATGAATATCCCCAAATTTTGCTCACTCAAAAGCTGTTCCCAGGATTTAGGGACAGGAAGGGGTTCTGGGAGCATACTGCAGATCCCACCATGAACCATGTCGTTGAGGACGTGCACCCACCTTCTTTGCATTTGCTAATGTCCAGCACACCGTAGGAGGTGCAGTTATGCGATACAACTGTTTCCGTGCAGAAGCAATGGTTGTCGGGATTTTGAACCGGAGAAGCAAAGGCTTTGGCGGGGAGAACGAATCTATACACAGGGATTCCTTTCAGATTGATTTCAGACTCAAACACAGCATAGATGGACCTACACAGACAAAGCAGAAGTTTCACTCCCAGGGCTCACTACATTCCGAAGACATATTTATTCTGGTTTGGGGGTTTTAATTTTCACTTAGAAAGCTGAATGTTCTTGGTAGGATTCTCTAATTAGCGGATAGGTTCTTATGAATTATTTTTGGCTTTTTACTTTATTTTTCAAATAAACTTTTAATTGTTATCAATAGATTTGTAATAGATTTTATGAATTCCATATGTGGAGTTTAAGAAAATCATTCCCCCTTGTGTCCTCCTCCATCCTGCCCACTCTTCAGCAGTGTTTGCAGAGTCATGATTTTAATCCACTCCATATTAGCAGGCTTAATTTACCATTAATCATAACAGCCGACAAGTAAAAAGACCGTAAGACCACATTTAAACTGGAGTATCTTCTGAGATTCTAATACATGGCAGAACTTGATACGTATGTGTGAACTGTTGTTATTTTGGGGAATGGTTTTAAGGGCAACTTTTGACAGTAAATGAGCATAAATATTTGGACCAAAGAAATTATCATAATTCCCCCAAAGGATTAGATGTTGATACTTAGTGTATGCCAGAGTTAAATAAACCTTTAGGAACTTAACTCCAAACAGAAAGGCCATTAGTCTGCTGGGATGTAAGGATGACACTTTAGACAGGTGGCTAGATGACACACACACACACACACACACACACACACCCCGTACGGCTCCACCCTTTGCTAAGGGTCCATCCTGACCCAGGCAATGTGCTGATGGCAACACACTTTTTATGTCCAATCTTTAGATGATTCTGTAAAAAAGGAACTCTGCTCCCCTCAATTTCTTAAAGAAGAAAAAGATATTAAGTGTTTGCCCGGAACCGTAATGTCTTTAGGAATAAGAACTTGGTTCAGGTGTTATGGTTTGGGCTCCAAGTGTGTGTAATATCTGCTGAGCTCCAACCAATCTGAAAAGATGGTCTGACCAGCAGTAGAGCATATTAATGAAAACAGTTCTGTGACACCTGTAATGCCTTCTCTGAACATTTTTAAAAGGCTTGCTGGGTGGGTATCTGGCCCTGTGGTTAAGCTACCCTTGGGGAAGGGGGTGGCCATTGCAATGGCTCAATTGGTTAGTCCTCCACCATAAGCACCCGTATGCCGTATGGACATCAGTTCATGTCCCACTGACTCATTTCTGATGCAGCTCTCTGCTCGTGACCTGGAAGAGCAATGGAGGATGGCCCAAGGCCTTGGATTCCTGCACCCATGTTAAAGATCCCAAGAGGGCTCCTGACTCCTGGCTTCAGATGGGCTCAGCTCAGCTATTGTGGCCATTTGGAGGACTTGAACCAGCATATGGAAGATCTTTCCGTGTAAATATGCCTTTGCGATTAAAAAAAAAAAAGTTTAAAAAAAAGGACACCATTTGGCACACCTTGGTTCAAGTGCCAGCTCTGTTCTGATTCTAGATCCCTACTCATTCACTTGTCCCACATGTGATGACCCAAATAATCAGACGCCTGGCCCTCTCTGAGGGACCATGATTGACTTTCTCGTTCCTGGTTCCACACCTGCCCCAGACCTGGCTATAGCAGGCACTTGGGGCATGAAGCAGTTACTAAGAGTTTGCTTTCATGCTTTCTGTCTCTCTCTTTGCCTTTTTTAGAAAATTAAAATATAAAATAAGACTTTTTATTGAATGTACTGGTTGTTTAAAAAAGGAGACAATACAGGTCTTGCTTAAATACACATCACAAAGGAAATGATCTACATTATAAACAATTTTAGGGCATAGTAGAATGTTGTGCAAAGTTAAATCACATGGTTGTATTTGTTCTTAGAAAATCAAGAAAAGGTTACCCTGTGTATGGAGCTTGTTGACCTGCCTTTCGTCTCTCGGGAGGAAAATGTTTGGCTCCTAGAAACACATTGGTATCTTTCTCTTACCTGCAGATGTCAGAAGAGAAGAACTGTAGGACTCGAGACTTCTCAACAAAAGGTGGGAATGAGGCTGCATCTGTTTAGAATTCAAGCCAGTTATAAATGATTAGTTGGAATACGTGTCTAGAAAAATCTTGAAATTTCATTGCAGCTTGGTCAATAGAAACATTATACAAAGCATCTATACAATTGGTTATGGTACCTAGCCATCACAGAGAAAAACAGAAAAAAAAAATGGAATGGCTATATTTTATTGAACCAGCATATTCGAAAGGTATCAGAACGGAATGACTGCAGATCTTTATATTGTCAAAATTCAGTATATTACAGCCCCACTTACCATACTTCAAATGCCTACTCATCATAGGTGACTAGACCATGGAACACAATTGATTGGTATGCACTTTAATCTTTTCATTTTGTGTCTTTTCACAGTTATTGAAGCAAGTAAAGGATGCATGGTTACCATCCAGATCTCCTCCGCTGATCTCTCTCTCCTAGTGCCAGGCTCAAGACACACCGAGACAACCACACGGCCTGTCCCCATCAGTCATTTTAACTGCATGCCGGATGTACTTGGCATTTCTCTTCTGTCATGACCAAATCCTCTGATTTATTTTCCTGAGTCCCTTCCTACCTAGTTTTCGGAGAGAATTATTTAATGCTTTTGATTCCTTAAATCTATAAAATAGTTTTAATGATCCCGGAACAGCATAGAATACGTGTCTACCTAAAGTCCAAGTATTGTAAACAGGTGTTATTACACTTAGTAATACTAAGGTACTTCGATTGAATTGGAATTTCTGCACATATTTCACGGATAAAACCCTGCAAAGAACATCCAGCCATTTTTGCTGTGCTTTGCCGAATACAAGTCAGCAGTGACAAGCCGTATTCAAGGTTCAATCGTATTTCAAAAGGAAGCATGCCATCTGCTGCCTTTTCTTTAACTTTGTTCATCTTTATTGTTTATTTCACTACAGGGAATTCCTGCACCAGCTTTGGTCCAGCTCATAACCTGCTTCTCAAGAATTTACCTCTAATACTAACGGTCCCCACGGTATTGGATTCTCTCTCTCTTTTTTTTCCATTCTTGAATACTTTTTTTTTTTTTTTTTGGCCTGACCCAGCTCTGCTTCCAGTTTTTTGTTTATTGGATTCTCTCTCTCTCTTTTTTTAAAATAATCTTGTTCAATTCATATTTGCTTCTCTGCAATATCAAATCATAAGCCAGTAGACCAAGCTCTAAGTTTATAGTTCTTTCTTTGTTTCTCCCAATTTTAATTCAAAAAAACTCATATTTTAGCCATGAGCCTTTACTGAGCATTTACTGAGCCTTTATAAAAACGAGGGCCGTGAATTATACTGCAGTGCTATAAAAATGAGTAAAACATATGCTCACAATCAAGTGTGTGTGGATTTGTGCAAGAGGGTGCAGTGGATTTTTCATGATTATTACCACAAAACAGATAGTCTTACCTGTACCGTTAATCATGTCGCAGTAACTTGGCCAATAGGAGAGGTTCCTTGGGCATAAAAAAAACAAAGAAAATGAACAAATATCCTCAAAGAACACCTTTCTCGTATCACTATTCCATGATGATTCAACTCCGATCTGAGGTTAATGAAACTGAGATGTGACAACTAGTAAATTCAAGAAATGTTCTAACTTCTTTGACCCATGTGTTCAAACTATTCCTCTTATTACAAGTGTGCTATGGGCCTGCTGCTCTCGAGTGGCTCATCATAAAATCAAAACTTCCAAATTGTTAACTCACTAGAAATAATTGGAAGAAAAGATTTTCCAAAGAAAATTGAGAGACGCTGATTAACTTAGATCTCTCTTAGGATGAATTTTTTTTTTTTTCCCCAGCAGGAGAAACTAATTATGTAGAAGAATTCTGAACAGGATGCAATGTGTTAAGCTCGGTAGGAACCAGCTCACTAGGAGGCAAAAAGTGTAGTGAGGAGGAAGAAAAGGGGGGGTTATTGTGACTTCTGGAATGTAAACGCTCATATAACAACATTTTGACTTTTCTCCTTCTAACACTTGCATGGACTGGTGGTATCCAGGTAGACCATGTGACTGCCATTGTGCGATTATACTTTTTTATAAACTTAACTTTGAACTCTGTGGAAGAAAAAGCACGCCCGTAAATATTTCACTGCTGTGTGCCATTATTAGAGCAATCATCAGGTAAGGGCTGTGGTTACAAAACGTGTAAGAAATCTCTGGTTTGATTGCTTGATTATTTGTTGGGACTAAGCTCATATAAAACAAAGGCTAATAAGGACCTCTCTGACAGCTGGTAGAGTTCTTTCTATTGAGTTTATTCTGAAACAGACATAGAAAAAAAAAAGGGATGATTTTGTTCAAAAATTGTTGACACCCATGCACAGCTTTTTCATACTGCACATCTAGGGTCTTTGTGAATATCAGTTCTCTTATAAAATATGAATTCTCTGGATGAACTCACAGGAGATTGCCCGGAGGGAAGTCGTGGCCTCATGGAGCTATTTGTTCTTATGGCAAAGATCATGTGTTTTCCAACTTAGTATGTATCTATGTCAGAACTATGCTTGAAATACTAATTCCATTTCTGCACTGGGAAAGTTGAAGAGAAACGAGGTGGCAATGTGGAAAATTGTCACAAGATGGTAAAGCAGGGCAAAAATCACAAAAATGTAGAGATCCACTAAACTCTTTAAAGATATTCAGGCTGCACTGCTAGAGTGCACACTTTTTTTTGAAAAGTATAAAAAATAATAATTTACTTTCGCCCTTACTAAACTATCAACTGAGTTATTGATTTGGTTTGATTTTCTATGTAGTTACCTAACTCTACGGGGACATTGTAACGCTGGCTATGTAGAAGAAATGAAAGCAGCCCCTCCAGATGTCTTTCTAGGAGAGAATCTGTATACAGACCAACAAAAATCTAAGGATGGAAGACTGAATTTTTAGCAAGTGTGCACAGGTGTGAAGGTGCCCATGCTTGCCAGGCAGGACCATTCAGACTGATGTAGTCTTGTCTAGTCCACAGGTGGGTGATGGCGCCTTGCAGTTGTTAAAAAAACACTGTTCTTGCCATCCGTGCCCTAACAAGACACACACACACACACACACACACACACACACACACACGTGTACTTCATGGGGACACTCACTTTTTCCCTTTGTAAGTGTCAATTATGGCCACTTTGCTGATATTATCTTTTCCATTGAAGACTCTGTACTCTCCATCTGCAGTACCATTGTACTGAAACGACAGATCAAAGAGAATATTATTTCTAGAACAAGCCGCATCTTCCAAGCTATAACATATGGAATTCCTTTTCACAGTCCTTAAATGCTGGTTTTGCATGATAATTTTATAAGACTCTAGATATAGGCAATGTTCTTAATTACTTGCTTTCCAAATAAGACTACTAATACAAAAGATGTCGGGAAACAAGTGCTGGAATGAAAAGAAGAATCTAAATACTACAAATTGGCATAACTTCCACTCCAGCACCCCGTGTTAACGCAGCCCAATGCCTCTGTTTTAAAGAAATTGAATCAGACCAATGATGGCAGTGGCAGGTTTCCAGAGCCCCTGCATGCTACAATCTTTAGTAAGCAGTTACTAAGATTAAAAACAGGATTAGCTAAGGTCAATAGTTATGACTAGTTGGGGTAAAATTGTAACAAAATATCTGGTTTCATATTGTTCTTTGCATCATCTAGACCATATCGGATATGGAACCTTGCCATCCTAGCCACAGTCTTAAGGAAAACAACAGAAAATTTAGGAATACAACCAACAAGGACATATGCAACCAAATGAATTTCTAATCGTTATTCCAATAATATAGAGTCGTCAGCACGTCCTACTTGTAATTCAATTATAACAACGTCATCAGGTTCACATTCTACCATAATCACTCAATTGCCATTTAACAGCATTTGACACCACTGGAACTTATAAATCAGCAACCCTACCAGGCTGCGGCCATCTGACCATACAAACATAGGTTAACATTTTGAATTAGTTCTTTAAAGAATTTTTAAGAGGAGAAGCGACAGAATGAGCACATTGAGCAAATGGAGATACAGCATTGATACTGATGTAAGGAAGGAAATCAAAGTTCAGTTTTCAGCAATCTGTACAGAGAATGTGTACGTTCTGAAAAGGGTGGAAACTTGATCACACTAGAATACCATCTGAGAATTTTCTCTAGGAAACTGAATAGATGTGTAAGGAGGACTAGATAAACAGCAAATTTATCTAAGTTACAGAAGGACGCCTCATCACATTGTTGCTTAAACAGCTTAAAGATAACGTCTTTGGTACTTACCGGATAAAACACGCCCACTGTTTTATCAATATTGTATTGAACCATTTGTAGGAATGGGTCTAAATAGCCCCACAGTAATTCTTTTACAGTTCTGGTTTGGAACATACTAGAATTTGATCTTTTGATAATCAGATTGAGCATCCCTTGAATGAACGAAGTTGTAAAAAGATGAGGTACGGTCTACAGAATAAAAACAAAGAAATATCCAATGTTTAAGATAACCAAATAACCACAGATCTTAACACGTGAAACGGATTAGTTACTAGAATTCCATCGAATGCAAACTTTTAAAAACCTTTAACATTTACTGCCAAATCCTGCCAAGACTGGGAATCTTTGTCAAATTCCTTCCTTCTTACATTTTTTGTGTGTGTGTGTGTGTGTGTGTGTGTGTTTCATTGCCAGGTTTAGCACCACATTGGTTGGGCAACACACTTCAAACCATCTTCAAATTCAGGTAATTCTTATTTGGCTATTTTTACACCTGATCCTGACTGTATTGAAAACAACATTAGTACTTGTTTTATGTAAATGATCAGTAGAGGTGGGTATTTGTTGACCTGGTTCTGATGCCACACAGGAGGCCTAACTGGCCCGTATTGATGTGTTGGGTTAGAGTAGTGGCTTTGCACATGCCGAGTGGCAGTAATGATGGCTGGGATGCTGTTATGCCCAGGATAGACCCAGACTGAAATCTCGGGGTCTTAGCTTCCCTCGGCCTAACCCCAGCTGTTGTCGTTATTTGGGAAGTGACCAAAAAAGATGAGATTTCCATCTCTCTCTCTCTCTCTCTCGCTCGCTCAATCCCTTTCAGAGAAAGAAAAATTTTAAAAAGTTTAAGTGATCAGTAAAATCTTGGTCATTCTAGCAAGGTGATTCATTACAGTAGCTTGTGTATTCCCAACAGACATTGTGTTCTTTGTCAACTTACGGCAACAGCCAAGTTGAGAACCGTGAAAGTATCGCTCTCTTTGCCAACGGACATCGAGGGTTCAAACACAGCTTCGTTGGGCTGCATGAAGGACACTGTGTGGTCTGTGCTGTTCTGGATCACATTTTCTTTGGCTAGATAACGAACTCTGAAAAAAAAAAAAAAAGAAGCAAAGCCAAAAATCAGAGAACTCTCCCACGAGTGGCAACTCATTTGCTCAACAAAGATTCGAGCACATGGAAAATGCCAGCAATTATGCTAAGCGATGGAATTAAAATGATAATTTAGGCAGTTCTAAGCCCTTCACAGGCTACCTAGAAGGCATCTGAAACACTGAACGGGAAAACCTACAAGAGAATCAGTTCCAGGCTTGGGGGGGCCGTGGTACACATTTCCTTACGCATTCTGCAAAACCGATGTAAATATCAAATAGAAGTTCAGTTGCACAAAGTGGGGCAGATAAGCGGAAACTTCACATAGTTTTGGAAATGCAAATATTTTTGAATTGCTGCTGTACAGAGATGATGAAATAAGATCTCTTGCATTCAAAGAATTTCGAGGGTAAGGAAGATGGGAGGGAATGCTTAGCACATTTTCTTAGATTAGATCTCACCCAAGACCAGCTTATCTGTGAATTTCAACACTTTCATGAGAACTTGAGTTAATGAATAGAATATAATTTCCTTTCTTAAGGGTCCCAAACCAACTCCTTGCCTACACCCTATAGCAAATACTTACTTGTTCTGAGCTCCAGGTTTTAATATATGTGGGCTGCAAAGTAACACCTGCTTTTATAATTTATTTTTTGGTAAAGATTGATCTATCTATCTATCTTTATTGGAAAGACAGATTTACAGAGAAAAGCAGAGGGAGAGAGAAAGATCTTCCATCTGCTGGTTCACTCCCGAAGTGACCACAATGGCCAGAGCTGAGCTGATCTGAAGCCAGGAGCCAGGAGCCAGGAGCTTCTTCTGGGTCCCCCACGTGGATGCAGAGTTCCCAGGCTTTGAGCCATCCTCAACTTCTTTCCCAGGCCACAAGCGTGCAGCTGGCTGGGAACTGGAGTAACTGGGATTAGAACCGTTGCCTGTATGGCTTCCCAGCGGATGAACAGAGAGGACTTTAGCCACTAAGCTACCATGCCAGGCCCAGTAGCACCAGCTTTTGTGGATTGCAGTGAAAGGAGATTTTGGGGAGGAAAGTGACATAACTATACATTATTAATGAATATGAAATGATTTATTTATTGCACCATCATCTATGTGAAGTCAGCGCAAGGTGGGTACATAAGTAAGGTTAAGGAGGAAATCAGAGACTGAAATCCAAAGAAAAATATCTTGAACAATAAGTTCCCAAGGAGATCGCTAACATTTGGGGGCTTGGTGGGTTGGCTCAGTGGCTAATTCTCCACCTCCATTCACCAACATCCCCTATGGGTACCGGTCTCTGTCCTGGCTGCTCCACTTCCCATCCAGCTCCCTGCTGTGGCCTGGAAAAGCAGTCGAGGACGGCCCAATGCATTGGGACCCTGCACCCGCGTGGGAGACCTGGAAGAAGCTCCTGGCTCCTGGCTTTGGATCAGCTCAGCTCTGGCCATTGCGGCTGGAGTGAACCAGTGGATGAAAGGGCTTTTTCTCTATCTCTCCTCTTCTCTGTAAATCTGACTTTGCAATAGACGATAAATAAACCTTTCAAAAAAGAGAAGCTGCATTAGAAAATGACAGCCTGATGGATATTTTACTTCTAATACAGCTTTATCAAAATGTTGACATTTATTTTTCCCACTGTACTGTAGTCACGGTGACCTCAATAGCTACATCTTGTCTCTCAAGTAATATTATCTTAAAGGTAGAGTAAGGTCATGTGAGTTAAGCTGCTTTAATTTTGTGAGTAATTGTGTACATTTAAATAAAAACGATAGTGAAAATTGGGGCTGACTCTGGAGCTCACCTAGGTTGTACTTACAAACATTCACCAGCAGATGGCACTCCGACCTTAAAAATGGAGCCTCACCTTTAGCATGTACTTTTAAAAATGATTATTATTCATGATACAATTCTGTATACACAAAAATTTCCATCTCCTTTCTCTCCCATAGAGAACATTGCTCCCCTTTTAAGTTTTATTCACAAATATTACAATTCTGGGAAAATGTTGGCTTATAAGGTCTATGTCCAATATTTTGTCCAAGATCGATTTTGTTTCCTGAGAAGGCAACGCTAATCATGATTGATTTACATTGGATAGAAATTAGAGGCCTCGCAGGGATGGTGGATACCGAAATATTTTAGATTTTGATCCAGCTTTTCCTTGGAGCCTATCAGGTTTTGTAGATCCAAACTCCATTCGACTCACTCTAGCAGCCATGGCTTCCTAAGCTCTTGGCTCTATTGGCTGAGAAACAGCCCCTGCACATTGGAGTCCAACAGAATTCACAATCGACAGAGGAATACATTTAGCTGCACACATAGAGGATGTTAAGATCATGGCATTTTTTGGGGGGTCTCATTTTCGTGTTATTCGTCTGTTATATATGGCAGCAGGCAAATAGCAAAGATTCCATTTTGGTCACACCAGATGGGGTAACCTCAACCTTAACCAAGACTCACTTGGATCTGTTATGCAAAGGAGTAATTCCCTACCTTATTTTGTATCCAACTCCACTGCTTTTCAACAAGCACTCTCTGTCACTCCTCTAAGCAAATCAAGTGTACCCAACCCGTCCCCTGTTTATCCCCTGGAGGGAAGGGATAAGACTCTGAAAATAAAATACACGTAAGGTCCTCTCTTGGCTCTGCCCCATGAGAAGAGAATGAGACTCAACATTGTGTTTCTTCCTGTTAAAAAAATTATTCTTTAAAAAAAAATATTTATTTGAAGAGAAGAGTTATATAGAGAGTAACCCATACACACACAGAAAGAGAGAGAGAAACAGAGAGAGAGATGTTTTATCTGCACCTTCACTCTCCGAATTGGCTGCTAACAGTCAAGGTTAGGCCAAGGTGGATCCAGGAGCTTCTTCCAGGTCTCCTCTGTGGGCACAGGGGCCCGAGGACTTGGGCTTTTTGCTTTGTTGTCCCAGGCGCATTAGCAGGGAACCAGATTGGAAATGGAGTTAGCTGGGACTCAAACTGATATCCTTATGGGATGTTGGCACTACAGGCTGAGGCTTGCCTACCAGGCCGTGGTGCCAGCTCCAAGAGAGTATCTTTTAAAAAGCAGCATGCGCCCAGTGGTTGAGACGGTGCACATAAAGCTGTTGTCTAATTGTCAGCATCGCCGATGGGCACGAGTTGGTATTTTGTCTGTTCTACTTCAGACCCAGCTTCCTGCTCTTGGCCTGACAAAAGCATCCCAACATGGTCCAGGATCTTAGGTCCCTGCCTCCCAGACGGAGGCCTTGAATGAACCTCCACTTTCCAGTGTTCTTTGGCCGGCCCAGTCCTGGCCACTGCCATGGCGGAATAAGCAAACCGACAGGAGGAACATCTCTGCCTTGCTCCATCTGTTTCCCTTGCGTTTCTTTCTCTCTCCCTTTAGCACTGCGTTTCAAATACATCAGTCTTTAAAAAGCAGCAAATCTCCCCGCATTCTTACAATTTAAACAGCATAAAATCCATTATAAAAAAAAAAGAACGCAGGCATTACCAGTCCCTGTGTCTGTGCGACCGTGAGAATCATCACTTGTTTCATTTCCAAAATGAGGGATTCTGGCATACCGTTTCTCCTAGTTCTAAAATTCTAATGGAAGATTCTGTTGCGAATACATTTCTGGACTTGACCTCAAGAGTCTCTGATTGCAGTGATCTGCATGAAATATCCACAAGTCCCCTTGGCAATGAGAACCTGCGTGTCCAGGAGCCACTCTTGGAGCACCAGTGAGATACAACTCAACAGACCATGAGGATATGAAATCTTGGCAGCTTATTTGCTGTTGAGCGTGCATATTTCATGCTTCGCTTATACACCATAAACGCATACAGTAGGCATTTGATGCTGGTCAATGCCTAGCAGAATGAGTGGTTCTTTTCTGCATCCTTAGTGCTCCATGATGGTGCACGGGTCGGTAAAGATGCTACAAGGTGACAAGAATGTGATGAGTACGTTTTCCACGCAGCGGCGTGGGGCAGGTGCCACCGACGAGTGGAGCTCGTGGGCGGAGAGCCACTCACCTGTACGTGTAAGGACCTCTTTGCTTAACCTTAATGTTACTGCTGTTCTTCTCTACTTCTTCCGCATTTTGCACGTCAAAGATCCAAAACTGTCTGTAAACTTCCGTACCCGTTTTAACCCAATTCTGATAAGCAATGGTGCCATTCTCAAGGACAACCTCCTGTGAAAAAAGGAAAAACAAACGCGAGTTATTTCCTTTGTAGTAAGCGCAGGCCCCTCTCAGAGTGTGTGTGTGTGTGTGTGTGTGTGTGTGTGTGTGTGTGTGTACCACCTGTTGCCAGCCATGCTGAAAGAGCCAAGTTCAAGCGTCTTGTTCATGAGAAGCCCTGAAATCTAGGCACACACATGCGCTGGAAATGTTTATGACATTTTCGCACAGCAACCCCTTTTAAGTATGCCTTGTATAGCACATGTGTGTGTAATCCTGTAGCCAGGACTGTGGATGTTACAGCAAACCCTTGGCACATTTTCAGAGTGACCCTGGTTGGGTGGCTAAGTCAGAACAGTCTGGAACAACTTCAAATTGTATTCAAATTGTTCCAGAAAGTTTTCAGCAAGTTGGGCATTTACTTTTTCTACTGCTGCTAAGTCAACTGATCTAATGGCAAAATATAAACACAAGGAAAGAAATACTTTGATATTGCATTTTTTTTTTCGGTCTTGGATGCTTCAGAAAGTATCAGCTTAACAGCTCTGGATGAAAAAAAAAATCAAAATCTGACTCCTTGCTCCAGAACCCTGCTCAGCAGCCCCTCCCTAACTCTTCATGTATTTTGCAGCAACCTGTTCCTACAATAGCTTAAATCAACATGCTTGACTTTGTCGAGGAGAGGGCAGCATAGGACAGCATCCTCATAGGTACAATCTATTAAAACACAAGATGTAACTTGTTCAGAAAACACAGACAACAGGAAAATATACCAACGATGCCAGTTATAAACCCTCTGTTAGAAATCCAATTCCTTGTTTCAGGAGCTTGGGGACCAACTGGGAGGTCACCCACTCGCTTAGGTTCAGTTTTACTCTCTGCAAATCGAGGAATTTTCCACAGATGCTCTTGCGCTGTTTGTCCTAGGCGCTGACTCCTCGGATGCTATAGTAACAGGTGCAAACAAAGGAGTTTTTGCAGCCAGCAGTAATTTCCAATTAAGTGCCTTGGGAAGCAGGCCCAGGGAGGAGAGCGCCAACTCACCTTACTGTGCTATAGGAAAAGGAAAAGAACTATTTCTCAGAAACGAGACCAAGGGGGAATCTCGGAATACAGGAACAATCTGACCTATTTGTTATAGTCTCCTGGAATCATTCCTTCACAGAAGGGATCAAGAAAAGACATCAAGTATTGGTCCTGCTTTGCAGTAAGGCACAAGGAGGCTCGCAGGGCCCAGGAGACTGGCCCAAGGGTAAGCTTAGACAAAGCGCATCGGATTCAGAACATTCCCCCGACTCTCCCCACCCACGGCCCCCAAACCCATGCTGGCCCTTTAAACTGGTGCTGGAGCCTCGCTTGCCTGCTCTGTCACCCTCTGAACTTACTTGGTAGAAGTCAAACAAAGTTTAACATCTTCAGCATATTTTCTTGCTTAATGCTGAGAGTGAGGGAAGTCCTTTGAGAACAATCAAGCATTCAGTTAAAACGCAATTACAAAACCCCGTGATGTTGCAATCCATCGAACATGGTGTACATTGGACTGCTCAAGTGATGTTTGAATCTCTGTTGCTTTTTACGAAAACGTGTCCTTGAAAAACCTTCTATTTGTTCTGCAAAAATAAATTGACTTCACGAAACAAGCTCAACATGAAGGCAGGGCTGTATGAAGTACTGCAACGATTCTTCTAAAGGTGAATATGCTTGATGCCAGTCTGGGTGCTGAAAACTATGAATTTGCCAAGTTCAAGAAATTTTTTTTAAAAAAACATTAGTTATTATCACACTAAAACAATCTCGAAGTGAGGTCTGTTTTATCACTTGCCTCTGTTCCAGGCACATATTAGATTTGTTACAAATGTAAAGAGATATTCAAATTCCTGTAGAGTTCAATAGATCTGTGATACAATGTACTTGACAGACATGATGTTTAATCAACTGTAATCCATGCAAGACATTGTAGGGTATCTTGAGGCATGAGATAATACTAATCTACGAGTGAAACTGCAGTGTAACCATTCAGATGTTCTCAACATTTTCTTATGAGTAGAGTTGGGGGGGGGCGGCGTACATGTGTGAAAGACATATTCTTTTGTCTCCCAGAATCTTGTAGCGCAGAACTGGATATATATATAATATTCTTGGACCGCACAGGCTTGCTAGCAAAATAGAGTGGTGGCTTCTCTCGAACTGCATAAGAGAACTGCATGCCACGAGTTTGGTGTCCCACCTGGTCACTTTAGTAATCATTGATTTGGGCAAATTATGTATCTTTATCTGTTTCTTTCTACAGAGAATGAAGATGAAGATATTAGCTTGAACCACGGGAGGGGGGGATGGATAAAAAAATACATTGGCTATTAGTATTTTCCTAGTTGAGTTGAATACGTAGGTGTTTATAAGCGTGTTAGCATATCATATTATTCAAATGCTGTCCACTAACTAGAGGGCTTATCCTAACATCATTTATTATCCACCTGCTTTAACTTCTTATTTCACAATCACTATTGCCTAAACCAGTCATGTGTCAGGAGCTAATGTCATTTTTTTCAGACAGTTCTATTTCTGTGGCTTAACTATTTTACAAGTATTCCCTCTAACATACACACTTCCTTAAAGAGCAGACGCTATCTTAGAATTACCATTATCTTCCATATCCACTACCGCAATGAGCTTTTAGCTGACCCTATACAGAATAATTTTCCCCAAAATTAGAAAACAAAAAGACACGTGCTGGGGCAACCGTCTAAACAATAAGATGTGAGTGAAGCCACTCCTGTGCCACATAGGAGCGCTCAGTTCCACTTCTGGTTCCAGCTTGCTGTTAATGTGGAGATTCCAGGAAGCAACAGGGATGGCTTGAGTCACTGGCTCTGTGCCACCTCCCAGGAAAAGCTGCACCGAATCCCCAGCTCTCAGGTTGGGCTTTGGGGAGCGTGCCAGCAAGTACAAGATCTGTCTCTGTCTTTCTCCCTGTCCCTCAGAAATCGACTCATTGTGTGTCCCTCTGACAATAGGATGTGTACATGCATATATTAAAAGAAAGGGAGTGAGTCTGATGGGGGGGCAAGTGTGTGAAGTGCCAGGAGACAGCACCCGTTCCAGATTAAGATCAAATAAGTCCCAGAGGGAAAGCTCATGAATGTTCTGCTGTGACAAGCTCTAAAATGTTTGAAAACCTACAAATGAGCCTTTTGGAATGGATGTAAGAACTCGGGTGATTTTGTTGGTAGCATGAAATGTAATTCATTGATATTACATCAGGTTTGCGGAAGAAAGCTATATATACACACCAGCTATTTCTTGAAATATCATTTTTAAGTAACATGTTGATTTTTTTTTTACAAATCAACATATTTTATAACACACTTATATACTGTTATTTTAAATCATTTCTGGTTCTGAATTTATACGTTTCAATATAAGACAAATTTTTATCATCTTTATTAACTAATACTTGAGGTATTTCTTTATAGCCTTTATGTTCAAATTATTTACCATATCTGGAAAAGCCAAAATTGTCTGTTACAAAACTAACATAAAAATAAGTTAACTGACATTATCAGAATATGAGATATTCTTTCAAAATAGTCATTTCGTTTAAAAAAAACATGTTATTGTTTCAATTTATCTGAAAACTTTTTTTTGTGAATTACTAAAGGATCTTTCTTTTCAAGAATGGGGAAAGAAATGATAGTAAAATGGAATGATGATATAAATAAATATTGATATGGCTGAATATTTGTCCTTTTGTAGGTCAAACCAAGAAGTTCTGATTTCCTTTTGCTCTTATTTATGTGGTCCACAGCACAGAGAAACCAGCATTACTGTAATATTCCTTATGATATATCATGTTCACTAAGCATCTTATCTAGTGATATTAACATTGTCAAGTGATAATTTATCTTTTACAAATAGCGTAGGACTTTGGACCTTTTCCAAAGTGCTTTGGTGGTTTCTACGTTGATAACAACTTGGGCTATTGTTTATTATCCAGCTAAGAAGGTTGTGTGAACCGGCTGGCTCCAGACAACCCAATGGGTCAAAATGTACTGGCAATGGAGATTTCAGTTACAACCTATAAAAAGCATGTAATCTCTGGAACATCCCTTGTTGACGAAGAGCAAAAAACCAAATATATTAGGGGTACACTTTCTATCCCATTCTAGACTAATCCAACTGATACAGTTAGGGTGTCATGGTTTAGAATTGTAACGTATCAGAGATCTGTTTTATTAATAAGAAAACACCCTAAGTTGAGTTTTTTTTATCTTCTCGGTGAAGCATTTTAGTTCCTTTCTTCCTCAAAATCTGCTATCACTCGATTCATATCAACAAGCAATATTCAGTGAGAGTCAATGATAAATAAGTAAGAATTCACAAGTATTGGCAATTCTTAGTTGTTCGTGAACTAACAGCACGGGCCGAAGTCCATCTGACGTGGGAGTAAGACACTTGAATCTTGAGGTATGTGCCCAATTCACAGATCTATCTTTACCAAAGATAAGCATCTGCCACCTGCACTGTGACCATAGCTTTGTAAATAACAAGGAATAACAAGGAAACAGTCTTATATAAATAAGGGGGAAAAAAGTCCCAGCATCTTCATATGACAAAATGGGCAAGGTCCACGTCATTATTCTACTTCTACGGAAAACTGAGAGCAAAATCAAGCTTGGCTTTGCTGAGCTCCTGATCTTGGCCACTGCAAATTCTGAGGTCGAGTCTTTCTCTTGGACATGCAGTACATGTCAAATATCATTTCACAGTTTTTTTGGGGGGAAGCATCATTCCATTAGATCTCAGCTCTGTCCCTCCTCTTCAAGCCTGAATTCAGCCACTACCGCCTTCTGTCATGTGAGAGACAGTGCAGGTATCCGACACTGCAGAACCAACACCCAGAAACCCCTTCTTAGGAGGATTTCTTTCTTCTTCCTTTGAGTGCTGGCCTCCATGTGACATCTTAGGAAATCACACCCTCTTGTGTCCATTACTTCATCTAAAATGATTTCCCTTCCCTTTCTGCCGCTGTCTTCCTGTCTCTGGATCCTGCAGGAACGCTTCTGTTCTTTTCTCTCTTCTTTCAATCTCAATGGAAAAGAAATCCACTCTTTTATCTGGCGTCTCCGGAGCAATGATCATATTGGCTTGAGCTTTGACCTTTGACACGCAGACCAATGTTCGTATCAAATCCTTACGTTCATGTTGTTTCTGTTTGGAACTCATGGATGCCTCACAATTTTTACTTCCTCTATCCTAATCCAGCGTATTTTCCCCAATCTCCCATTATTTGTTGATGTTTCTGTGCACCATGCCATACCAGACCACAGTGCCCCTGTTACATATCGGACAGATTATGCAAAGGTACTTCTGAAAGTGAATCTTAAATTCTTTTTTCTTAAGATTTATTTACTTCTATTGGATAGTCAGATATACAGAGAGGAGGAGAGACAAGAGAGAAAGATCTTCCGTCCAATGATTTACTCCCCCAGTGGCCACAATGGTTGGAACTGAGCTGATCTGAAGTTAGGAGTCAAGAGCCTCTTTCGGGTCTCCCAAGCAGGTGCAGGGCCTCAAGGCTTTGGGTCGTCCTGGACTGCTTTCCCAGGCTACAAGCAGGGAGCGGATGGGAAGCTGGGCCGCCAGGATTAGAACCGGCGCCCATGTGGGATTCTGGTACGTACAAGGCGAGGACTTTAGCCACTAGGCTAATGTATCAGCTCCAGGAATCTTAAATTCTTCCAAGCAGTCCTGCCCTATGTAGTTTCCATTTGTTTTCCTGGTTTGAGGCTTTACACGTTTAGACCTTTCTATTGTACAAGCATAGTAAACAACATTACATCTCTAGCTCTGCCTTCAAATCACATACATTTTGCAAATGACTTTGGGTTAGATGAGTTGGCAAGTTTATTTAACATTATGTTAAAAGAATTTTTTATGGGGAAAAGAATATTTTTTTAATTTTCCTGATATTTGTGAAGATTAAAGAATGTAGTAGGCAGAACAATATGTGTAATCCTAAATAAATGCAAATCACATGATATCAATTCTTGAACGAAGGTTTGATTATAGCTTAGCTGCGGGAAGAAGCATTTGCTAACCGCCACTGACTATTACATCAACAAATAAAGATTCCTTGCTCTGTTGGTGAAAGCTTTCTGAATTTCACCCTGTGTTGCTATTTTATTGTTCATCAGGTGTTGTTGGCAATTCTCTCTCTGCTACATTTCCTCTGCACTTTTATCTTTTTGACTTCGAAGATGCCGTACTTTGTCAAAACGCGACTGAAGTTCCACCCTCTTCCTGAGGTTTCTTGAATGCACCAAGATACTTGTCCTTCTAAATAGTATTTGTTTTTCTGTATCACAAGGGTATTAATCAACTCTTGTTTGTCACAAGTGTCTATATGGATGGCACATTTTCCCAGCTACAAATTACATTGTTTAGATAAACATTTATTTTATTCTCTATTGATCATTCTATAAGAAAGCACAATTTGACATCTGAGGTCTCATCTTTTTTTCATGACTGTTATCAGTTTAGGGATGAATATGAAGCAATTGACAAATGACATGCTGGAATTCATTTGCCAACCAATATGGAACTGGGGATATACTTACTGTTGTTTCATGAAGAATCAAATAATCATTATCCGACTATTTCTGATCCGTAATTTATCAGGAAAAATAGCTTGAAAGGCTGGAGACTGGGAGATGATTTTGACTCTTCTATTCAGGAGACATTATAACTTGTGTTAATTCAGACACTGTTCTCGCCCTTTCTGTGTTCCTCACATGGCTGAGTGGAATGGGTGATTGATTGCACAGAGCCAAAAGGGTGCTAGAGAGATGGCAATGCATTCTCCCATCAATACACAAACCCTGCTCCTCCATCCTCACCTGCCTCTCACTAACAGCCTGCCTCAAAAACACTGTGAAGGGAGCTGGAAATCCAAAGGCAAAGGCTGCAGGTCAGCTCCACCAATTCATGAGGCTGAAGAGAGATCCACAAGGTATTTAGAATAGGGGAGCTCAAAATTGTTACGATATTATTGAAAAAACAATGAGCATAAATATGGGTAATGTTATGCTAAAGTTTCCCTATACAAGGAATCTAAAAGTTCACTGAAAACATATAGGGCAAAACTGTTCATGGATTCAAGCATTTAAGGGCCTTCCATAAACTTAAAAAATTCCTTTTCAGGTGACTTTTTGAAGTCCTCCTGTATTTCAGGTTAGGACAGTAACTATAATCATACAAAGAGATTTCCTTTAACCATACAAGCTTCAACCTTTTTAGCTAAAAAAGAAAAAATCAGAAAGTAGTGACATCTTGTCATGAATGACCAGCTTTGAAATAAATTCTTCACATTACTCTATCAATTCCTAGAACTAAAATGATGGTTTTGTTCATACTCTTCACAAGACCAGGATGTGCAACATGGGTGAATGGAAGAGAGAGAGACAAAATTGGACCCTAACATAAAAATCAATATGAGTTTGTCAGTCTCTCCCATTTTGTGTTTTAATTCTTACCACTGTCTGTTGTGTGCTATTTCAACAGGTCCTAGAAACCCAAACCAAGCTCAGAGCTGAAGCTGGCTTGGTAAGGTTTTATTTGGTCAGTGTTGTGTTTGGAAAGCTGGACATCCATGCCTGTGGGTACGAGGCAAAATTTGAAATTCACAAGAGTTTGGGAATTATTTCATCTTCTCATAGCAGCTTAACATTTTCAACCCTGCTGTTGAATGTACCATCCTGCTTCAGGATTTCATTAAGTATGCTTCCCCCAGTCTAGCTTCTTTCAATTGGACACTCTGCTGGATGAGTGTGAAGATAACTGGCTTTAATTTCACTGGGTCATACATTCTAGACCGTCAATCAAATCGTTTTAATTTGTGTTAAAACTGCATTCAGTTTTTGAGATGTACTGGCGTAGCTTATATTAGAAATTCTAAGAATCAAATCTAAATTTTTGCAAACGGAACATATTTGTGAGTTAAACAAATAGTATGCATTTTACAGATATCATGCTTGCCATAAAGTGTAGCAGATTACTAGGCAAAGCAATTAATTTATTAGTTTACCAAAAGTTCACAAATCAAAATGAAGCACAGTGTTCAATATCATTTCACTTTTCCTAGTTTTAACCAAAGTGTAGCTATTTATTTCCCTTTACCAAAAACAAACAAACAAAAACCTTATTTGCTTATCCATCCAAAATATATCAATACATTTCTTGGACATAAGTGAAAGTAGTTGTATCTACAAATCTTCAAATCTATAGGTAGTCTTTGTTCAAATTTGGATGTGTGTAACATAGCAACGTATTCATATTACCTATCGCTTATATTTGTAACATTTTGTACAAGGTCACTTCTATATCATCCATAAGCAGGTTTGTGTGAAAGACATAATATTAGTAGTTACTATGGATTATGAAACAAGTAGGTACCCATAACCCAAACAAGACAGGAATAGAATGATGATGTTTGAGCTACTCTTACCTTCTTAATGGTCTTCTCAATCAGCATGTCTCCCACTGGCATGAGGACACCTCCAAGGACGGCCAGCACTGCACCGACCACGGCCCCAGCAATCAGCCCACAGTTCCGATCGCAGCCCATGTTTCTGATGTGCGAGGTGAAGCCTCGGCTTCCTCTGTCCAACTCCCGGGTATGATTCAGGTATTTTTTTTTTTAAACCAGATCTTGTTCTGTCATTAGAAAAAGATCATAAAACAGAAGCATAAATATCAGTACGAAAAGATCAAAGTACAAAGATAATTTGGCCAGCTATCAACGCACTAATGTTTTGTCCTATAAACTGACTTTCTGCGTGTTTCTTCTCATTCTTGCCCCTGAGCAGCCAGAGGGGCAGAAAGCATGTCATATACTACTTTTCTTCGAAATCCCCTTCTGAATTTTCTTCTCAGAAATGACGAACATACCGAAACCTTATCGGAGGTGAACCATGTACCTGTAATCTCTCAGCTGGGAGCAATCTGTTGCATCCTTGCCCTCTATCTCCGCCTAAACATAATTCCCTCTACCCTGCCTGTTGTTCTCCTGCAGACGGACTGTGGGTGAATGGACATCTTCTCTGAGAAGCAAGCAAGGGAGAGGAATAAGGCATTCGTGCCTTTAATTTTTTTTTTTAACTATACCTTATTCACAAATGAATGGGATCTTACAGGAAACAATCTGAGGAGTCTCCGAAGGAATCAATTCCATTAATCATTTGTCAGCTGTTAAAACAAACAAACAAAAAAAGATATGGGTAAGTAGAAAATATGATTGCTTGAATACGCTGTTAAAAGAAGATTTCCTTTCCATGAATGTTGAGTTCAGGTCTGAACTGTTTGTCCTACAAACAATATTCAGAATACTGATGCAAAGGAAATAAAAAAATTTTAAAAAGATGTGTTGCGATGGGATTTCATTGCAGCGTCCTGCTCTTAGCGACCCTAGGAAGTCATGAACACGGCTTGGGTAACTGGGTCTCTGTCATTAACACAGGAAACTTGGTTCGAGCTCCCAGGTACTAACTACAGCCTGGCTCAGTCCCAGCTATTACAGACACCTGGGGAGTGACACATACATGATGGAACTTCTTGTCTCCCTCTCGTTCTCACTCCTATGACCTATTTAATGGCCAAAGAAAACACAGGTGTCATCCGACGAAGTCTGTGTTTGAAGTTCACATCGAATAAGGCTGCCAATAAGTCTTAAAATTTCTTTCTTTTCAGTTTATTGAGAAAAAAAAATAGACAGAAAAGAAGGACAAGCATGGGAAAAGGGGACGTGGATTCTCATCTTCCTGGTTCTCTCTCAAAATGCTGGTGCCAGAAGAGGTTAGGCCACAACAAACCCAGAAGCCTGGAACTCCATCAGGCATTTTAGGCAGGTGGTCACAGCCCAAGTACCTTTTCAAAATTATTGTTCACCAGCTTTCAGTAGCATCCTTTCAAGAATGATGATGGTTTTTCAAATCATTTATTTATCTGGATGGCAAAGACACAGAGAAAGGGAGACACAAAGGAAAGAAGAGTTTTCATCAACTGGTTTGCTTCCCAAATGGCCACATTGTCCATAGCTGAAGGGCATCAAAGCCAGGAGCTTCTTCTAGGTCTCCCAGACACTCGGTGGCTATCCTTTTCTGCTTTCCCAGGCCCATGTTCAGGGAGCTGACTCAGAGGGGGAAGACGGGGTCTCAAGTTGATGGGCGGGTGGGATACGGGCGTGGCAGGCAGTCTCTTTGCCACAAAACTGAAAGCCAAGTTCTTGAGATATAACGCTGCTGCCTCCCACAGTGTGTATTTCCAGGAAAGAAAGAGAAACAAGAATAACTCCCGTGCATTTTGTGTCCCCTCCTGTGACACAAGCATTGCCATCAACTCGTTTAAAGTTGATGATAAAGACAGAATATTATGAAATAGAAGATTTCTTTTGCAAAGTATAATTACACAGTACCTTAAGCTTTTTCTTAGATTTATTTATTTTAAAGACAAGATGACAGAAGGAGAGAGAGAGAGAGAGGGAGAGAGAGAGAACTCTTCTTGTAGGTTGTCTTTCCTAGGAGCAGCATTGGCTAGGACTAGGCAAAGCCAGAAACCAAGAACTCTGTCCCAATCTACCACATGAGTGGTAGGGGTTACAAGTCCTTAAGCCATCACCTTGTGGCTTCTTAGGAATATTAGCAAGGGGCTAGATGGCAAGTGGAGCAAGCGTGATTAGTAATGGCATTCTAATGTCAGGTGCTAATGTTGTAAGCAAACAGCGTAATCTGCTGAACCGTACCAGCCCCTTCAACTTTTCTTGAAACATAATCTTTTAGTAATTGCTAAATAGAAAATTCTTACTCTGGTGTGATGTTCTAAGTGCTTCAAATCAACAATACATGCAAGTTATTCTTAAGCAAGCAAGATAAATACAGCTGTCCAAATTGAGTGCACAGGGTAGAAGGCCAAAGATCAATTTACCATTCTCTTGCCAAATGGCAGTGTATAATTCACTTAATCTGTTTGTACCTCAAAGTCCCCATACTTAGAGTGGTCTGTGAAGATGAGACTAGCATTCTAAGTTGGACAGCTGAGCCACTGTATCATGTCTATTTGGAAGATCATCCAACATGGGAGCAATATCGCAGCAGTAACGGGGACCCCGGTGCCCTTACTTCCAGTGTGGTCACCCTATTCCTGGGTGGCCCTCTCCTTTTTCTGTTAGGATGTTCAAGGAGAACTTACAGAAATCTATGGCTTTTGCAAACCCATAGAAAGAAAGAGAAGTGAAGGAGAGGGGCTGTGTGGGCATATTACATGGCAGTTAAGACAGCATGTCCCATGTTGATGGTTTGGGTTCAAGTCTTGGCTCCAGGGCACACTTTGGGACATGGCAGGTGACGCTTCAACATTGTGGTTATCTGTCACCTTCGTGGAGAATGTACACTGAGTTTTGTGTCCTGGCTTACAACCCAGGTTAGTCCTGGCCAGTGTGGACATTTGGAAAGGGAGGCAGGGGATGTGACCTCTCCATGGCTGGCTGGCTGGTTGGCTGTGTGTCCTTCCTCAATATCTCTGCCCCTCAGGGAAAGAATAAAACAGCACGAGGAGGCAAGAAACCCTCTGCCAAATTTGTTTTGTGACGAGAATGCGAATCTATTTTCAAAAATATATTATTCAAGGATGAAGTCATCTTTTTTGAAAAGCAATTTTACACCCAAAGCAAACTTTGTTAAAAAAAACATTTGTCCTACTTTAGTGTTACTTTCATTCTATGTGATAATCCAGAAAATGATCTAAAAATCAAAACCTTGAGGGCTGGAGTTGTGACCTAGTGGGTAAAGCTGCTGCTTGCAATTGTCACAGCTATTCCACTTTTCATCCAATTTCCTACTTATGGCCTGGGGGAAAAAAAAATCAGTGGAAGATCTGGACGAAGCGTCTGGCTCCTGGTTTTAACCTCATCCAGTTCTGGTTGTTGCAGCTCTCTGGCAAGCCGACCAATAGATGAAAGATTCTCTCTCTCCCTCCTTATCTGCCTCTCTCTTTTTCTGTTACTCTTGCAGGTATAAATATTTAGAAATATATAATTACCTTGCTGTAAACACAGCTAGAAAGTGCCTGATTTTGTCCCTTTCCAGATTTGATGCCACAACCTTGCTGGGACTCTATCTGATCTATTCTATAATCAGTTTTTTTTTTTTTTTTATTCAGTGATGCCCATGCATGTCCATGTGCTACAAGGAAGAAAGGAGTTTTGAGAGTGCCTGCTGGAGGACTTAGCATAGCATACAAACCATTTCAGACACACAGTACTAGAGACGTGTACTCTGAGTCCAGACTTATTGCACAATGGCCAGGTCAGGGTACTGCCTGTATTCTGCCTACTTTAAACAATAAAAGGGAACTAAGATTGTGCACTGGTCCACTACTTCTGGTCAAATTCATCCATATTCTCACTCTGGAGAGATACATTGATTGAACTTGTCTACTTCTTTCATTTTCAACAGATCAGCTTTCACTACTTTGCTGTACCTTTCTGATTTCTCCCCTAAGCATAGGAAAATATTTGACATTCTTGAGGTTGCTTTACTCTCATGCAGTGCCTCGACACCCAGGAGTAATGGGATATTACCAATGTAATCATACTTTATCCTTATGCTGCATAATGCGTTATAATGAGCTTCCTTCAGCTAACGCTAAGGAGGTCATAACACAGGTGAGAAAGGCAGTGGGTATGGAGAGGTAAGGTCAGGTTACACAGAGCATTCAACAGCTTCTTCCCCTCACTTATTATCAGAGAAAAGGTATTTAGCTATTTGTAGAATGTAAAGTTTGAGGATCATAGTCTCAATTTTCTTAGTAGCATGCCTTCTTATACATGAAATAGATCAACAAGTTCACTTGCTAATTTTGGATTAAATTTTATTTTATGTTCTACCGTCATCTGACATTTACAAGAAACAGACCAGGTTTTGATGTCACAATTTACACCTTGTTTAAAACTTTTAAATATGGAGAGCAGATCATGAGAGCCAATTCTTGGGACTTAAATAAGGAACAGGGAGAAGGGAGACAGATTTTAAGATGTCACTCATCACACAGCTTTCCTGATTGTCAAGGGGATACATGGTCCTGGCTGATAGATGATAAATTCCAGTCCTGTTCAGAACTCACAGTCGGATTCTCATCCTTGGGGCTGTCTTTGAGAGAATAGAGAAAGAAATTCTTGGATTTTGTTATCCTTGCTGTCAATTTAACGGAGTGTTTCTATAATGATATCATAAGCAAAATCTCTTTCCACTATTTTGAGAACTTACGAACTGAGCTTTTTGCAAAGGATAGAGTAGGCTAAGTTATAAGAAGCTTCTGGTAAAAGGTCAAAAAAATCAGAGCAAATCCTTGGAGAAGTTGTAATTATTCCCAGGTGTGAATGAAGCTGTGTTCCCTGGGAAACTCCATCCAGAAAAGGCGTAGCCCAGTGGTAACATTTCCAGGATAGGAACCATGAAATTGGAAATAATTTCAGATGTCCAGGGGTTTTGTGCCATAAATAGGTCTCAGGGCCCACAGGACTGATTGTTAGATGTCTAAAGTTTCCTATTATTTAAATTATTAAATTCCATAGCACTTCCCTCTACTTTTTGTTTGTTTGTTCAGGATATAAAATTAGAACACCCACTTAACAGAGTCTTCCTCACCAAAGAAATACAACACGTGCCCATAAAATCCAGTTTGTGGAGTGTCTGAGGATGGTTTACTCAACAATAGATCAAAAAGGAACTGTTAAATTGGCTTCCAAAATGAGCAACATTTTTTTTCCCACACTTTTACTCTCTATCAACCATGCCATGGTTCCCTAGACATGAATGAAATACAGACCCAATCCAAGATAGTAGAAACAGGTGCATACTAATCATTTAAATGCAGTTATGTTTCATCCTTGGAGACAGAAGGCCTTTTGATCCATCTTCACAAAGTCTTTTTCAAATAAGTAACTCTCAAAGTTGAGTCCCCAACCCCAAAGGCAGAGAAAAGCTAACTGGAGTAAGCCAGAGAGGTATCTTTCCACACATTCAGGTATTTCACATTTGGGCTCTATGAAACCAATGGTTCTGCACAGAGTATTTAAATAACAGAACTATAAGATCAGGAACATGCAGTGCTATACAAGTCAACCACAATAAACTCACTTGCTTGGATGTGCCTGTCTACACTACACAACATATGAAGGTACAAATAGACAATAGAAAAACTAAACAGACACTTGTAACATAGCACAATGTGATTCAGTAAAATGTTTTTCTCAAATGTCTCACTTTAAAAATAATTCTGTAATCAATCATAGTATGAATATATTGAATTTTATATATTATACTCATGTTACTTCTAAAACTCTAGCCTTTCTACTAGAGGTTTTTGAATCAACAATTAATGTGAGTTCCAAATAACTCTTTTAGGCTCAGACCAATTTAAACAGGATTGTTTGGGAAAATTCTTCATCTTCAATGCTATGTAAAAATGGCATGTTTTTCTGCAATGCAATTCCACCACAAACTGAAACACTACTCAGTTTGCAGTGGTTGATATTGCACACCTCATGTCAGGAAATGCAAATTTGAGTTTTGATCTTAGAATTAGTTTGTTTCAGGTTTTCTCTCTGGTTTTGATAGATCCAGTAAGATTGAAAGTACTAAATAAAATCAAACGAGACAATGTTCAAAATTCTCATGGAGCGTGCCGCTTAAAAATGTTATGAAATGCTATCTTAAATAATTATAGCAGCAGCGAAATATTATTTCATCTTTCAAAACTGTTATTTTAAGATGATACTAAATGTACACATATCATAAAAATAGTCATAATCATTTAGGACCATTTATAGTAAAATGTAATGACATGCGTATATGTGCACACACACGTGTGTACATGAAATGAAAATACCATGCAAATGGAAAGGCAACTAAAAACTTGCAACAGTGTCACTCGAAAGTTTCAGCAGAATTTTAAGTTAGTGAACTAAAGCATCTTGTGATTAAACAGTGATAAAATTCGACCTTTTAGGCAATGAAGGACAAGGCACACAAGCATATACAGCAAATATATTCAAGTGAATACGGGCACAACTTTCATAAAAAGGAAGGACGGTAATCAGAACATCAGCAGCTGAGTTCTGAAGTTCTCGGTCCGCTCAGTACAATGACCTCACCACTTGTAAATACAGCCATCTGTCTAGGCTATGTCCTTATCTGGTGGCTCTGTATTTGCTTCTTTGTGTGGCCTCAACAGTAATTTTAGCAGATTAAAAGACTTTTTTGTATGCTGCCCATTTTCAATATTTCATTATGGTTTACTTTAAAGCAATGCTTAAGACAATAGTCTACTTTGAAAGACATCATTGACATAAATGACCCAAGAAAGGGCCACAAATCATAAAAATTCTTTCAATGTATTCCTTAATTCCAGAACCCCTTTGAGATTTACTATATGAAATTTATGCCATTTACAGTTATTCGCGTGTTTACTTATATAAATGAGCCTCTTAATTCCTCCAAAGTGACCTATCCCTTATTTAAATCCTATCATGTAATAAAACAATTCACTGGCTTGCCATACGCATTTTAGTTTAACTTACTAGTAAATTTTAAGCTAATTTATACAAATTAATATGTTAATGTTTAAAGTTTATATAAATTTCTAGTAACAATTACTTTATGAATTAAAGAAAAATGCTTTATCATCACATATCTGAAATAGGCACTGAACTACACCCTAGACAAATTCAATTTCAACAAGCTGTGCAATTCAGACTGAAAATTAAACTAATTTTAATTGGACTCAGTAATGTAAAAAGTAGTTGTAATGATTATATAGTAGAGAGAGTATGTTGATCTGAGTGACAGACATTAATGAAAACAAATTCCATTGTAATTAAAATTATTATAGTGACCTTCATATTTTAAACTAAGCATACTGTATGAATAGTCTAAACATAAGACAGAGGTATTTACAACAATCCAAATTGATTACAGACCATTTTAAGCTCTAATAAATGAATGCAGATAAACAAAAGCTATTACACATCAAATAGTAAAATGCTTTTTAACATAGTCGTAATAGGTTTTTAACGTCAGATGCAAAACATCTGACAAGCTGGAAAACATGACAAATCTAAGTTTCAAATAAAGCCTAGTGAATTTAAAACAAGAACAATTGTTTTCTGTTGTTTTTATCAATAAAATTTCTTGGGAGTATTTCCATAGCAGTATCATCTCCCGTTAGTTCAGAGTGATACAACCTCTTCATCTTTTTCTTATTTAAACAAAAACCACAGGACTTACCTTTAAAAGAGCCAAGAGTTAGTTTTCAATTGAAAGCTGCAGCATTTAAATAGACAGTTCTTAACAGACTAAGTGGGATCCTGCAGAAAAATCTGACACTGAAATTCTCATTACATAAGTGTGTGAGAGTTTAAATATGCCTTAAAAAAAAAAATCCTACGTCAGATCCCACTATATGGCTCACTGCCAGAGGAATTAAAAAAAAAAAAAAGTAAAGAATGAAGGAAAGAAAGCCACACCCATTATGCTATGCTACTGGTGTGGCTCATAAGATTCTATTTTTATGGTCAAGGGAAAACCCATCACCCCATCACCTATAAGGAGAGCTACTGAGCGTACTTTTTGTTTTTCTTGGATATTTTCCCATTCAAGACAGAGGCCAGAGAAACAAAGGAAGCTGGCTGTCAGAGCCATCTCTCATATATTTATCTTTTTTTTTTTTCCTGTAGAATCGGTATTCCAGATGCTGAAGCGAGACTGGTGTACAGAAACAGATTGGAAAGTAAATCCTGTTTTCACTTCTCCATTGCAACTGGGCTTGCAAAACTCGCCTTGTGATGGTTAAAGAAAATTTTCTTTCCTACAGGGCACGACCCTGAGGAGCTCAGAGACTAACAATTTAGAAAATAGTCGGGTGCTCTGTCAATCAAAGATTGACAAACAATTAAAAAAAGAGAGAAAAGGAAACAAGTTATTGTTCTCCTTGAATTGAATGTTTTTACCTGTTTATCTCATTAGTTGTAAGCTAGTTTCATGAGCAAAGGAAAGTTCTACCAACAATAAATGGTCCTTAAACCTCTTCCGTCAAAAGGGGAACTATGGATTAATACTTAAATACAAATACTATTGAGAATGATCTCTTGATGTAAAAATGCATGCCACTCATTCACGGTCAAACTCATTATTTTTAGAGCTAATCAAAACAGAAGGACTTGGTCTTTGAAGCTAGAAGCCTCTTGGCATTACAGCTGTGTTCTTAGAAAGAACTTCCCAGAATCTTACAGGCAAATCTTCAGGAGGTTACATTGGCAAGGATCTGACAGGGTACCTGCATAAATGCCTCAAGCCACCTTGACACGAAGCATGCCAAGGATAGACAGACGGGTAGTTAGCTGGTTAAGCTATAGTGAAGCCAGTGTTTGTCAGAGGGCACAGTGCTATCCCTGGCGGGCACTTACTGACCACTGTGGGTGCTGACTCAGCAGACAGCTCGCTTAACGGAAGTGGTCCAGCGTTCTCGAGAGCCAGCGCTGCTGGTATTTCTAAAAGTATCATTTTAGAAGTATTTATTTAAAAAAATAATAGATCATAAGAACACTTCAGGCATATTAGAATGAGTTTTTTTCCCCCCAATTTAAGATGACTTATCCACGATGGAATAGAAATCATTTAGGAAAATCGATTTTATTATTTTGATTATGTTTACTATTTTATGTTTTATATGAAATGTTTATTATATATGATGCTTATTGTTTTATTTTATATGATGGATGTTTTATTATTTTTATTTGAATGACTAATTTCTAGAAATATCAGGCAGTGTACGCACTAGAAATTTCAGGACACAATCAAATCCGGGTGCTCCAGCACCTGTTCTGTGAGTGGGGGTTAGGATTTCAGCAATTATTCACTTATGGGACAGTTCATGTCGAATTAAAAAAAAAAAGTGCAAGAATTAAGCAAGTACCTTGTGATTTGCACAGTGTTAGCTTTTGCTTCTACTTTCACACCACTGTGGTCTTTCTTTATACTTGTGGCGTATTGTGCTTAGTGGTGAATTAAGCCTGCGATTATTGAATAGATAGAAAATATGTTTTTGCAAAAAAATAAAATTGAAGGAAGAGTTTGAGTGAGGGATATACATATATGTGTGTATATATGTATACATATGTATATATAATATATATATATATATGCACATACCTTGCCACAATCAAACTGAATAGCATATCCACTTTTCATAATCAATGGAGAGAACAAACAGTGGTGAGAGCTCTGAGGATCCTGCCACTCCTGGAAGCCCTGGGATGCACACCCTGTGCTCTCGTGGTGTGGATCCCTTCCTGCTAGTTTCCTTTGCTTCGGCCCTTCTCTGTTTTCTCCCTGCAGATCACTTATTGCTGACTGGACATACTCCAGTTGACCTGTCGTTTTGCCTTCTCTCTGTTAGAACTTTGTGTTGTGTCTGTGTAACTTCACTGCTGAATGCCCAAGGTTTAGAAAGGGCAGATGAGTGAATGGACACACACACACACAACAATGACAAGAATGCTAGCATTTTGAAAATGAGAAGTCACTTTCAACTCCCAATTCTATTCCCCACAATTGACCATGTGGTATCACACACAATATATACGCTTCCCTGAGATTTTAAGCTCACATCTGCGTACGTGTGGTCGCACCTAGACCGACTGCTAATATTTTTTTGTGCCACTTACTTCTCTTATCATATGCCTTGGAAGTCTTGCACAAACAGGGTGAACTCTTTTCCCACGATTCCAAAACAGTTTACATGGATATTTCGTCTTTTCAGGGCCTATTTTCCCTATTCATTAGATATTACCATTTCTAGTTCTTCACGCTTAAAAACAAATACATAAGACATCTTGCACTTGAACAGGGATATCAGTAAAAAGTGGGGTGTTCCTTACTGTTTTTCTTTATTTTTTTTTTGTTTGTAAAGGGCATTTTTGACAAATTAATTGTTCGTAATGTGCACAACAATATGGGAGAAATCTGTCTCTAGACATCACCCCATTGTTTGATTCTATACATTTTTTTACCAACTTTATTATTTAATCTATTTTCTAAAGTACAATAGGCAGATTTAAACCACTGCTCAAAATATGGGCATTCTCTATAAGATCGCCACCTTGAGTCCCAGCTGCTCCACTTCTAATTCACTTCCTGGCAGCGCACCTGGAAGGGCAGGAAGTGATGGTCCAGGTGTTTGGAATCTCGCAACCCATGCAGGAGACCTGGATGGAATTCCTGGTTCCTGGCTCAACCTGGCCCAGCCCCATGCATTGTAGCAATTTGAGAAAATGAATCAGAGGATGGAATCTCTTTCTTTGTCTCTCTCTCTCTTTCTCTCTCACCACACGAATTTTCGAACAAATAAATACACCATTTTCTTTTAACAATAAATATGCTATCTAGTTTTTATCTTAAAACATTCGTGGCAGCTGGCATTGTGGCATATCAGTGTAAACTGCCACTTGCAAAACCAGCATCCTAGGTTTGAGTCCTGCCTGCTCCACTTTTCATCCAGCTTCATAACAAAGTGCCTGGGAAAAGCAATGCAAGATGATTCAAACACTGCGGTGTCTACACTCACGCAGGAGATTCAAATGAAGCTTCTGCGGCTATTGGGGCCATTTAAGGGAGTGACTCAGTTAATGGAAGACTCCTCTTCCTCTCTCTGTCTCCCTCATTCCTCCCTCCTTGTGGCTCTTTCATGTAAATAAACAGGGATGCACAATTTTCCACCCTTTTTATAGGTTATTTGTGCCCCTCTTTTTAAATGGAAAATGAAATCTCCTATCTCGCATATTTCACTGTTTCAATAGTGTCAAAGTTTTCCATATCTTATTGTCTGTTTTAACTAGAGAGATTTTTGATGCTTCTTTCATTAATTTCCATTCGCTTTAAGAATTATGTCTTTTTTTTGGAAAGCCATTCTCCACCATATCCGTGTGAAGAATTCTATCTTGTTTTTCTAGCATTTTTATATCTCCTTTATTACAGTTTTATGAACTAAGCCTGGTTGTGCCCTTTAGCATTTGTGAAGCAAAAAGAGGAAGAATTACAAACATTGCAACATATTTGAGAGGCCAATAATGACGCATTACAAAAGTTCTAGAGACAGAGCGTATTGCCCAATTTCCCATCACAGAATTATTCGCAGTAGGGTTTGTAAAATTAACAAGCTGTAGTACTTGTGTTTCTGATGTCTCGTTATGTCCAAATGGATAACCATAAGCAATGACCTATAGCTGCCATCTCAAGAGGAAATCGGATGCTGGATTACCTTGCCAATGGCAAAGCTATGTGTAGGTAGCAATATTGGTATCTTATGATTGTAAATAATATTTAACACATTCTAAGTGTCTTTTTTTTTCTTGTTTACAACTCAGCCCATGGAAAACATTTTTGCGTAACGTAAATTGTAATGCTAAATTTAACGGGTGAAGGTTAAAAACTGATGAAGATGATGATACGGTGAGAGTTCATACACAGGGAACTGGGAGCCTGCTGGATGGTGAGGTGAGTGTGTGACTAATTTTCCTTCATTGACTAATCCTTACCAGGCTCTTGAGATAACCAGCTGAGGACTTAAAGGTAGCATGTGCCAACACCAGACTCGCTGAAGACCCTATTTTCTTTCAGATAAATGATACATATGTCCTTGATCAATGTCAAGGCTAGTACATTCTTTATACAGAGTTTTTGCAGATTAAATGCTTTTAATGTCATCAGATATTACCTTGAGCGGTAACTAAAACCTGAACACAACCAGTAATGGGCAGGGAAATTTGTGTAGGTGGCCATTAATAGAATTCTTTTCAAATTGAAAACAAGTTTTGTTCTAATGACCTCCACATTATCTAAAAGCACAACTCAGGCCAAATTTGTAGGGGAAAAGTCACAGTAGAGATTTATACATGTCACATCCCAATATGTGGAGTTTTTAAAAGCCTATAAAAATACAATATGTGGATTTCCCATTGCTTTGTACCAAAAATAACCTTCTCTTAATTCCATTGTTCATGAACTATTTGATGAACCTTTATGTGTATGCAGGTGTGGTTACATAATATATGAACACAAAACAAATTTTGTAACCCCTGAAGTATTAATTTGCTATAATTATTGATATATTGTTTGCTTATATAGTGAGGAAGAACTTCACCCACAAGAGTGAAAATAAGCACAGATGTATGTAACTTTTTAAGACATTAAATTATGTAAGATAGACAACAGGTAACATAGAAATGTAGAGAGACCAACATGGAAATGACTATACTCACTTGTAAACGTCACGGGAAAGACAATATGAGAGGTAAACTGCAGAATAGCAGAGTGAAATTTATATTTCAATCTCATCTCCTGGTGAGTCAGAGACAGTGTGAAGAAAGCTACAGCCTTAAACTCATAAAGCAGCCTTACCCGGGTGTTTGTCAGAAGCCATTGTAGCCGCTGACTATAAGAGACTGAATAAGGAGAAGGCCCCTCTGTGTCTGTGGATGGGCAGATCCGTATGTAACAAGGTGACCGTTCTAACCCTTCCTTACACACTTCCTAAAGATGACTCAGCTCTCCCAGGAATGGGGGCAGGATGAGGGGAGAGAGCCAACCCCTAAGTGTTGCTAAGAAATACAAGGAAACATTAAGATCGGAGCAGTTTGGTTAAGTTCAGACCATAGATGGGATGGTATCAAGGGAAAAAGCAAAAATACTTACATGGAAGAATAACCAGTGATCAGAGGATGATGTGGTAAAATAGCAGGGAAAAAAAAAGTCAATCATTGATAGCATTTAGTTGTAAAGTTCCAAATTTAAAAAAAAGAGAGAGAGAAAGACAACTCGGAGAATCAATTTGAAGTTTCACAAGGCAGCAGAATAGAAAATGGCAATTAAGGACACAATACATTTTCATGCTGAGAAATACGATATGTTTGGACTGGCAAGAGCGTTCTTAAAGTGAAATCTTAAAAAATGAAGTTGATAAAACTTTTTTTTGAAAAGGTCAGACAATCGATTTAGTTACATAAAGGTTCTTGGCTTGGACAAAAATGTCTCCGCTAAAATTCTCAACGAATGTAAAATTTGAAAAAAATCTGTTTAAACAATCAAAGTAGATGAACACTGAACTTATTACATATGCATCAGATATGAAGTATAAATATATATAAATGTATATATAATATGAAATTGATAATATGCAAATCGACCATTTCACTTTGTCATGATAAAAAATGAAAATCTGAGCACATTTAGAAAAAAATAAAAATTTAAAAAATATGCTAATCACATTGATAAGCCTGTCTTTTACGATCTTGCTAGTAGTGCTATCCGGACTGTATGCTCAGCCGTGACCCTGTGAGCACACAGCCTGCCATGAATTGGGCATTAGCTGTGTGAACAAGCTAAGCACATAAACAGATCCATGTACTTAACAACACACATTGCACAGGAACATGGACACACACTTAATTTTCAAATGTAGGAGAACAAAGATGACGTTCTAAGAAGTGTTATCTAACATTTTAAGAACAATGCCACACAGGAAAGAATGCATCTTCGCTGCCTTTTTTTTTCCCCCCCTAATGAACAGAGAAATGGGCAACACAAACATGGCACTTGAGTGGCACAGCAGCTCTGGCTTTCTGTTTCAAAGAAGCTCAATGTGCCATTTCAGCTCACAGTGACGCCAACACGTCCCCCTAGACTGATTCTCAGTGGGCTAAGGAGAGGCTTGGCTTCTGGAAAAGACCATGTCCCCTGGGTTTTGAGGAGCCAGGAGTTTGGTTTAAAGCACCCGTTCTCAAATGGATCTCTGCAAATCCGCTCAAGCCTATTTTTGACACTCTCAAGAATCTGTAAGATTAAAATTGGGACCATCGTACACTAAGTTAATTTTTACATTTTAACAAAGTGTCCCAGGATACTTTACAGAAACGTGTGTGTTTTTATGTATCATTTAGGCACACACACACACACGCACACACACACACACACGTGCGCATACTAATGCCCAGAAACACACTTTTTTTTCTGAAAACTTATTAATCATTTAAATCGGATATTTCATAAGTGGATCCTCTAAATCATGGAAATCTAGACAGAATAAAACGTAGCAATTTACCAGCCACCATTATATAATGTGTAAGACTGATAACTTACAAATTCAGAATACTTCTAAAATACTGAACACCTTTCACCAGCACATGACTTTGAGATGTATGGAAGAAATGGCAAACTTGCCAGGAGTAACATAAAACCTTCACTTGGGGCTAAGCAGTTTTGATAGGTAGAGAAATCTCGCATGCTTGGTAAAGTTCCCGTTAACCCTAACAGGTTAGTGGCAGTGTTTACAGCTGGCTTCACATCCTGGAGAATGACAGGTGACTAGTCTTAAAGGGCCCACTTGCATGGAACCCATGGAAAGCAATCTTTTACCCTCTGACTGTACTAAGTAAGTTTAGGTATCCTGGCGATATTATCGTAGTATCTATTAAGTTCATTGTTTGCTGATGAGTAAAAGCAAAGACTCCCAGTGTGTGTCTAAAGCCTGTTTTCCTCCAGAGTCTTTAAGGGAACTTTTTCATTTGTTTGTTTGTTTGTTTGTTTGGGATTTCCGTTTGCTTTCAGCAAACAATGGCCGGTCATGGACTCCGCATTGCTGTAGAATGTTGCCTTCAAATGAACCTCAGCATTTTGCTTTTGAGACCCATGATGTCCAGTAGCTTGGCTGTTGAGCCTGAGGTCTCCCAGTTGCATTTCACAGCAAACTGTTCCACTCCACGTCGCCTGTGCAAATGTGAGGGGAAGATGTTGATGTTATCTGCATAGCGTGCCGTGCTTTCCGCATTTCTGTTGCCGACAGCACATCGCTCTAGCATTCAGCGTGGGCTATCCTCTATCCTGCAGTTGCATTTCTTAGACTTGGAGCTGCATCCTACATCTATTTGGAGAGTAAAAATACATTCTGGAATTCATCCAAGCTCACTGCTAGGCCTGTTTTTTCCTCTCATTTTCAACAACTCTTCAGGGAAAACTGGATAACCCAGTAGGATGGAGGCAGGCAGACTCTAATAAACCTGTAAACACCTGGGAAACGCACCATTTCGTGATATTCCAAAACAAAAGTCCATTCATGGTGTCTCGTATTATGACGTTCATCTCAAGAAATCGCTTATCAGCTTTTAGTGTAGGCTTCTGTCTTTCGCAAGCCTCTCTTGAGTTTTTCTTTCTTCTCTCTGATCTGTTCTTGGCTGTTTCGAGTAGTTAACATCTCATTATTTCACCTTTTCTTTCAAAATAAGACCTGGTTCTATGTGTGTGTAGATCTGCAATTACATTAATTTAAACCAATTTTACCTGTGAAAACTCTCCCCGAATTCGAAGAAACCAACAGTTTGTTCCCCGTATTCCTTTTATAGATAATATTAATTCGTGCACTTAACAGATTTTTTCCCCCCTTTTGGTTATTTACTTACTTAAAGGTAGTAGAGAGAGGAAGAGGGGAGGGAAAGAGAGGGAAAGGGAGAGAAAGAGAGAAACAGATTTGCTTCTATGAGGAAACATCCGCCCTGATGGCTTCCGCCATTTTGGACTCTGTTTCCCCTTTCTCGTGGCTCCCACCTTCTGTGCCTATCGGTCTACCCACCAATCCGCTGTTCCCTCATGGCCCCGTATCTGACTGCCCTCCCCACCAATCCCTCACGCCCTGCCCCCACCCCATCTACCAAGCCCCTGTGGCTCTGACACTCCTATTCACTAATCCCTCAAGGCCACCCTCCCACCCACTTCCTCTTCCTCCCTCTTCCCTCTTCTTGCCACCCCTTCCCCCTCGCCCAGTTCTTCCCTTATCTCCATCTTGCTCGGTTCCCCCCTCGCTTGCAGTACCCTCCAAACTATTGGAACAAAGGACCTCCTAGGTACCTTGCTTCATCTGGTATTTTTGGCTTATTGAGGCAAACTTATCCCAAAAGGAGGATTTGGCTGCAGGAAATTAGGTGAGCATAGGAGCTAATGCCTGTAAAAATTTCTGGTGCATTTCCCAAATGCCTTCAGCAAGTGTAGCTGGGCCAGGCCAGGGGCAGCAAGTAGAAACTCTTGAAGTGTTGAGTATGGGTGGCAGGGCCCTTGTGGCTGACACCAGCAAGAAGCTGGAATCAGAAGACTGCCCAGGACTCAACGGAGGTGCTCTGATTTGGCATACATCCCAAGGCAGCATCTTAAGGGATGCAACCAATGTTCACCCTTTAATAGGTGCATTAAGGAACATAGCTGTCAGCAAGAGCTCAAGAAAAACAGTACATCTTCAAAAATAATATAAAAAATAGATCAGACAAATGAAAATGTAGGCTGACACTCTGAAGTTCATATTGACCATCCTACTATCTGCTACTGAAACTAAAATCTTCAAAATTATTAAAATTGCTTTTCTTCCTGTAATGCAGGCAATCTTCATCTCATCCTAAGTGGATGTAACTCAAACTAAGACAAGGTAATATCTTTTGAGAGAAATTTAATATGGGGGTCGGGGTTCAGATGTGTTTCAGGGATTTGTTCCAACTCAAAAAGATGAGGCATAATGAATAACACTGATTAAATTCATCACTCTCCACTGACTGAATCCTAATCTGTTGGGGATAATTCAATAGACTTGAGAATTTCCCAGAGGGAGCCAGTGAGTGAAGGCTCAGGTGGTTAGGCTGGCATCACCTAGTTGAGAGACATTGAGCAAGCACTGAGTTCCCCGCTCTCAGCTCAGGCTGGTCCGTCCTAGCCAGTTCCTAGCTCCCAGCTCCCAGCTTCCAGCTCCCAGCTCCCAGCTCAGGCTGGTCCAGTCCCAGCAGGTCCCAACTCCCTGCTCCCAGCTTGGGCTGGTCCAGTCCCAGCAGGTTCCCAGCTCCCAGCTCAGGCTGGTCCAGTCCCAGCCAGTTCCCAGCTCCCAGCTCGGGCTGGTCCAGTCCTAGCCATTATGGAACTGTACAAATATACCAACCCACCAGGATTATGAGGGATGCATCATTCTCTCTCTCGCTCGCTACCTTCTCATGAAATCTATACTTCAAATGCAATGAAAAAAAGACAATTCCTCAAAAGAAGTAAGCATACATTTCTTTAAGACATGATGCTCTGCTCAGATCCTTAGAGTAAGTTAGTGTGTAGTGAAGAGTGCTCATGTTGCAGACAACGCGTGGTTGGGAGGCTTTGAGAGAGGGCTTTTTAACATTGAATTCCCAAGGACAGATCCCAGAGTTGTCTCAATTTTTTTATGTGCTGCCATTAACGTGATGTTACCTCTAAAATGCCACAATCCTATTTGACATTTTCTTTTACCTCATTAGGTAGGGAGCATTATAATACATCATCCCTTGGGACTCCCAAGGCCATGAATGATGACTCATTCAATATCAATGGAATTGACTTTTCTATCGTCTGGATTCCATCCCAATCAGCCACTGCTATGCGTAAGATGAAAGAAGCTCTTTGGCTCTTTTATAACCTCAGAGGAAGGCCAGTCTGAATCAAACCCAACGTACAAATAAAAACAAGTTTAGAGACACTTAACCCAGCCCTGCATTTTGATGAAAGTTTTCTGTTATATGAGACAGAGTTGGTATCACTCAAATAACCTGAGCGTCTATATGTCATGTATTATGGTAATGAGTGTGAATTAATCAGTGATTTTCTTTAGAAAAAAAAATAAAAGGAACATAATTAACTGTATGATTTCTGTACCTTAGGCAACCAATATAGATTGTTAACATTACAAATCACATGCAAAATGCCCTGTGGTCATATTCTCTTCTTCTCTAGATCTTCAGAACATTTTAGTGTCCCATCAACAGTGTTGTTTTAAATGCCTCAGAGTGACTCATTTGCTCAAGGTGATTGATTTGCTCATTCGTGTGTTGCCCAGAGTTACAAATACTGTCTGGCTCACACCAATGTTCACATGCCCACTAGCTTGATGCTCAATCTGTTATTCCAGGGATATCATAATCTAGAGTAAAAGGAAGGGCTTCTGCTGCGATGCAGTGCATTAATCCGCTGCCCAAAACATGGGCATCTTGTATGGGTGCCAGATTGGTTCCTGGCTGCTTTGTTTCCAATCCAGTTCCCTGTTAATGTTCCTAGGAAAGCAACAAAAGATGACTCAGGTACTTGGATGACACTTGTTCCTGTGAGCAGCTGGGAAGGAGCTCCTGGCTCCTGGCTTTGGTGTGGCTCGGACCCGACCTGGCTGTTTAAGGCATATGCAGAGGGAGCTGGCAGATGGAAGATTCTCCTCCTTTCTCCCTGTCTTTGTCATTTCCCCCAGCTGTACCTCCCACCATTCGTGTGTGTGTGTGTGTGTGTGTGTGAGACTCTGCCTTCCAAATAAACAGATATTAAAAGGAGAAACTGGTGATATTCCAGAAGTTTCTATTTATTATAAATCATGTATATAATGGAATAAAGAACAGATCTTACAGGCAGCTTTAAGCAAAAGAACTGATCACTCCACATTAGAACTCATTTTGGTGATTGCAAACATGTGTTTTCCAAACAGATTTCTTTTCTGATGTACTGGTGTCTGAGATGATTGGCAAGCTATTTAAAATGTAAGATTTTTAAAAACAAATGGTGTAATAATCTCTCATATTTACCTAAGCTGAAAATTAGGAGTCACTGATTTAAAATAATATTCCTTTACCAGGAATTGCCATGCCCCAAATAGCAGGAAGTTTTCTGAAGTTTTACTTAAGTACTTCAATTGTATTAAAAATATTACTAAACAAGAAAAGTGGATCACTAACAGTTGTGTGGTTTGTTTTGCGTTGACCAAATGAAGTCTGTTCTAGCTCTCCTAATATTTATACTGAACTATTCAATGTTTTACCAATCAACCTATTGCCTCATATAAAAGTTGCCATAGACATTCTTTGATAGAAGTTGATTTCTCTGCATTGTCGCTTATTCACCACTGCTCATTTATTTTGTTTAAAAAACTGGATCATTAATCTATCCAGAAATGTCCAGAGAAGGGGCTAGTGTGGTCTAGGCTTTGGGGCTTTAAACAAAGACTCCTGGGAACCCTGGGAACAAGAGTCTGCGTTCCAATTAGCACAGTTAATTTGAAAAAAAAAAAACCTGGCCTGTATTTTGTCTTTGTCACTATTTCCATCCTTGGGAGGAGGCACGTTGTCCTTTGCAAGGGCACTGCTGATCTGAATGGATGAAAATAAGAGACCATTTGCAGACTTGTAAGCAAACAAAGAATGCATTATTGCCACCAAGTGTAACTGCCTCCTGAAACCCTGAGTTAGACAGCTTCCTTCACTCCCCGGAGAGTCTTTAATCTGTTGAACTCTTAATAGCAAAACAAAACGCGCAAATGCCAAAGCTCGGGGGAACGGGACGCAGAATCGGCCTGTCTCAAGAGACCCAAGGCTCTCTCCCCGCTACGGACTGTGATCAACACGGAGTCGGAAGCAACAGAGAGGTTCAGATGAAAACAGCTTTTCTGTGCAAAGCGGGACAGCAGAAGACGTTACACAGAGTGCAAATGCATGCCACAGTAGAAGCTGCCAGTAACCCGGACAGCCTGCCTCAAATCCAAAAAGTCCAAATCCTCATAAAGGTGTGTAGCAAGCAGCTACCCCATCTGACGATGACACCCGGTCCTTGAACGTCTTTTTGGTGACTGCAAACATGTGTTTTCCAAACAGATTTCTTTTCTGATGTACTGGTGTCTGAGATGATTAGCAAGTTATTTAAAACGTAAGATTTTTTTTTTTTAAGACAAGTATTGTGATAATCGTTCATATTTTCCTGACATGAAAATTAGGTGTCATTAACTTAATGTAATGGAAATGTGCTTTATATACATTATATATTTAGATAGATTTTTAAGTTGTTAGGGTACAATTACTAACAAAAACAAATCACGGAGCCTTTTAATAGCTAGCAGATAATATTATTTGTTTTGCTGTGTCATATTTTAATTATATATAAGATGCTTTAATATCTGATGTGCATACATATCATTATATATAATACACATCTTATATATAATTACATATATATATAAAATGTTGGCAATGAGGTAGCAACAGCAGACACATTTATGATACATTGCATAATTAAAATCAGAAGACAAGCAGAATCTTAGGCTTATTTTTATGTGATTGCAGACTATCATGAATTGTAACTTATTATTTCAACAGTTTGGCAAATCTGAGGCCTTCATTTGTTTGACTCTGTGAGTCATATAATCCTGGCATGAAACGAGGGCTTATCTGAGTAGTCTCACTTGTGCTATGAAGATAAGGCACGGTGCCAGCTCTGTTCGTTTTGCAGTCACTGAGGTTGGATTGCCATGGCAAGCCCGGAGCCACTGAGTTCCTAGGCAACCTGGCTCCACAGGCTGCAGATACCTAGGAGTCCACTGATGTTTCAGAGCAAATGAGAAAGCCGTGGTACCCTGATCCTTGGAGGTTCCTTTGGTAAGACGCAAGGGCAGAGGCCTTCGTTCACCAGCCTCTGCTTGATTAGTTGATTAAAAATACCCAGTCAGTGAGATTGTGCAATGATTACAGTGCCATGGAAATGAGAGCAGCTATAAAACTCTATCAGTACCTTATATATGTGGTAAACAAATATATTGGAAATAATGAACAAGATGCCATGCATAATCCGGCTTTCTAGAAGCAGACTCAGTTCTGCAATGCCAACCTTCATAAATCCCTTGCATTTGATGGAAATATTAGTCTATTTAGTGCCACTACCCCACAGTCTGTCACTTCAGTATTCTTGTCTCCAGCGACTGCACATTTAGATAATGTCAGCAAATATAGAGCAGCAGTTGAAATCTTATGCTAGCATGTTTCATCAAAATTTGCCTAGAACACTTGCCGATTCGTATTAGTTACACAAGGGGCAGATTGGCATAGTTCTGAGGCCAATCCACGGGAGCACATTTTAGGATTTGAGCTTATTCAGTCCCTCTGTTTAAATACTCCGTGACTCCATCTCCCTACAACTGCCGGCTGGGCCATTGCCTTCTGCGCTCTCAACAGGCCCATTTTTCTACTGTTGAATACAACCACGATGTGTAATATTAAGGCATAAGTAACTTAGTGCCCACAGAACTGTGTATCAACCTACAGGTCCAATGAAATGTCATCATTGTTAATGATGACATTGACACCAGCAAAACAATTAGGCTTATTATTTGTGATAATTTCCCAAACTCTTGCTTTTCTGCTATCATGATCACTTCTATTATCGTTCTATATAGCTAATTCAGCTAAATCTTCCTGGAAGAGATATATCCTTCAAGATAAAAGGATAACTAAATATGAATCGGTACTTTTAGTAGGTTTCTCTATTATTACATACTTCTCTCATGGCGTTAGTATAAGTGTACGAGTCTGGGACATCTCAAAACTTTTCGGGATGGCCTCACATCATTTAGTAACATAGCCATGACCGAGAAGAGCTTAGCAAATTTCATCAGACCAACTCCTGCTTGGAACCGCGATGCCTAACGCTTCACAAATATACCACTTGTTCTACTTTGTGAGAGAAGAAACAATGCAGATATGTTTTTAACTAGAAAAGATTAAAGCAAAAAAAAAAAAAAATCAAGCTTACAGAGTTTGTACCGCAGGCAGCAGCTTTAATCCTGCAACCGTTACGTAAATTCACAGAGACCAGGGGGTGAGGGAAATTACCAGTTAGAAGTTCGATGGAAGAGTACGAGGTCCGTGCGGGAAGATACACTTTCCAGTGTTGGTTGGGAGACCCCAGAATTAACACGGAGGAGTCTGTGTGATTGGCCCAAGGGCTGGGTCAGATCAGCCCACCTCCAACAGAGACAAGAATAACTGAAGAATTCTGATGGATGCACCCAGGGTGCCAGCAGGACTTCTAAATCATAGCAGTGTTTGCCAGCCCTTCCAGTGTGAAATGAAGCTGTTCTTTACCCTGGTTCTTTAAAGAAAAAAAAAATTACTCTGTGACGTTTAAAACACAGAAACGGCTCCCTCCCCATGGCCTTTCTCACTGCAATTCCCTCGTCTCTTCCGTCCTGTGGGTTACACATTCCCATCCTCCCAGGGGCCACGCCACAACCTGTGCCCAGATCGTTGGGATAAGAAATGAAGCATTGGCAAACATTCTGGCCATCAGGCAGCTTATAACTGCTGCGATGCTCCTCTATGACAGTGCAGAAATCTTACAGCAATTATCAATGGGTTCTGCATGTGCAATAAACACAATCCAGTAAATTAGAACAAAATAAAAAAAATATTTTTAAAAATTCTACCACATCGTGGGCTGCATGAGACCAATGATTTGGGAATTAAAAAAAAATCATATATTTTGATAAACTTATATGATTTATTGGGTATGCACCTTCACGTACTTTTCTTGTGTATAATGGGTATTTGTCATGTGGGCATGATAAGCTTAGAATTGTGCCACCAAGAGGAAGAAAGTATTACACCTGCTGTGAATATTTCCTCGGTGGACTTAGAATCTTTTATATAAACTAACTTTATATAAACTAATCTTTTATATAAACACTTGCTATTTCTTTTCTTTCAGTAACCAGTTACGCTGGTTGAGAACATTCTCAAGCTGGTTTTCCAGCACTTACTAGAAACTCACTTTTTGGGCTTTTTTATCTTCTCAGAAATGCAGTTTGGCATAATCAACAAAAACAAAGAGACTTTCACTAGTAAAAATCCATCGTGTTCGTTAAAATATTACTGAACTCACCTAAGTAGGCTTGGCCAAGGCAAGGTGCCCGGCACTTCAGCCAGATCGCTCGTATGGGCGTAAAGGTTCCAGCTATTTGGGCCAATATCTGCTGTTTTCCAAGGCGTGTTGGCAGGGACATTCGACCTTTCAGAGCAATGCATTTTTCTTTTGTAAAAAAAAAAATTATTTTGCTTCAAAACACAAGATTTTTACTTGATCCCCAATAGAACTGCTTCAAGTACCTTGAAGAACAGCTTTACTTGGCAATTTAGTGACTCAAAAATGAAACGCAGAAAATACGTTGATGTGTTGTTTTAAAAAGACAGAAAAAGATCATATGCAATAAATGCTAAAAATTAAGGGTGAATGTACAACTTTAGGAGTCCGTTAGTGATTTTCAAATTAAAAGCCATTTAGTCTAAAAGCATCGAAACTTGGGTCTTTATGGCAGTTATGGCCCTCTCTGCTCTTTTGTTAAATAATATAAATTTTACAGTGATTTCAGTGTATTTCTGTCCCTTCCTGCAGACAAGGGCCTTTCATTTTAAGCTTGTGACGGTTGAGGAAACTGAAAATACGTCGCTGCAAAAATTAAAAGAAATTTTAAAAAAAGGAAAAAGAAGGGGAGATGGAAGGCAGAGAGGAGCCTTGGAAATATCATGTTTTTGAAGCTGTAGATATGAAAGGCATGAAAGCATTTTCTTTTATGTCAGTA